TTACATAATAATATCGTACATATTTAAAGGTCGGACGTTTTCATTTCAATATTTTTTTTTATTTAGAAGGTATCCTTAAATTACTACAATAACTATAGAGTTAGGTAACCGATCTGATCCATTTTATTAGTACACGACGTTGTCTCTAAGTGTATTCTTATTGAGTGAAACATATTTACTAATCATTGTATATGTTTTTATGTATTATAACCGTACATCTACATCTCAGTTTAAACGATACAGTTATCTTTGAACTTAATATTTAAATACTCCGCAGAGCCTGATTCATTTTATTTCATAGAACTAATTCTCCCTCTCCTCGTGGAGGGCTCTTCAAAGTCATTCATTCACATGCTCTCACGTCTGAGTGACGTTTTTAACGCTACAAATATAAGATGTAATATAATGTTGGAGGTAGGAGCATTCAGAAACACTTCAAATATAATATATTACACAAGTTTTTGAACATTAAAGTACACGTTCATAATGACCTACGTCTTTAAACAGGGGACAGGGAACAGGGGACAAGGCGAGAAGGTGTGCTAGTTTCATTAAAGAGAATACAGAACTTAATGTATCAAGAGTAACAGTTAACTTATATATAAAGTTGTGAAAGATGGAGTTAGGGAAACGGTTTGGAGCGGCTTGCTTTGTGACTGAGCGCCGACTACGAATGTCTAATGGCATGGCTAAGCTTGGCATATCACTCGGCATGGACACAAACACACACACATATACACACAAATAAATTTAAACTTATAAAGATTTAGAATTCATACTGTCCCTTAAGAAATATGTAATAGATAAAAATAATATTTTATACAAATATGTACATTTCTATGTCCCTATCATATAACATTTAATTTGTATAAAATCCTACCAACATAATATCACGGTACCGTCCGTAGTCTCCGTCGACCGAGTAAATGAATGAATGCCATGAATTTACGGGAGCAGTCTTCAATATGTTTAGCTTCTGTTTAATTGCCGCCAAATATTTATTATCCATTCATGAAACATCCAGGTTATTAAAGTGCCCGTGCATAATTAATGGTCATTAAGTCCATAGAACATTCCCGCGTCCCTCCTCCACTATGTATATTCTGTGTGCTCTCTGCGGCCGCCTGACCCTGGCTTTGCGGCGCCGACGTCACCTGTCATCCATCAGTCTCGACAACGCGCATGGGCATACCGTGCACACACACACACACACACACACACACACACACAGAGAGCCTTATAAACGGGGTCCGGTGTAAACAAATTCAAATTTAACGGTACCAGAGCGGAATGCAACAAAACAATTTGCATTCCGGCCGGCGGAGTGCGGACTGACGGACGACTCGCGACAGACACTCACATGAGAATATATTTGATAGGAATGTGAAGTAACAAACAACGGTGACCCGCTGACTAACTAAGGGACGAACTGGTAATTGTTGATTATAATATGGGGGTAGAGACACGGCCGGCGGGATCTGTGGTTCCGTAGAGGACATGGAGAAAGAATATTCGTTTAGAAAATACTTGCCTATAAACAGAATCTGACTGACGCCGCGTCGGAAGAAAGATTACAGTTGATTTGGAAAAATATTTAAAGGACTCACAATTAAAATTCCTTTAATGTATTTATGTAAATTGATTACAATAATTACTGTTTAATTGAGAAGCACAACTCGCGGAGCGACGACCGTTGCTTAGCTATTAAAGATTTTAAAGTTATTTTAAGTGTCTGTGTACATTTCTCTGTATATATAAATAATAAACTATTATCATGATGGATGTTATTAATATTCTTCGAGTGCTCAGACATGTCCAGCGTCTTTTTCTTCTCCCACAAAACAAGTTTCAACTTTTTAATTAAGATTTTTTCAACGTTCACGATTAATAAATATTGATGTGTGAAATATTTTTCAGAACATGTGCTCCGTTTATTGATGGCGCCAAAAATATTAAGTAGTACATGTGATCTCTATGTTTGAATTAAAAAGTAGGCAATGTGATAATCTATAAGAGTAAACAGAATATTCTCTCTTACAAGTCTAGTTAACAGTGTCCCGGCGACCTTCAGTACACGACACATAACTTATTCCCTACCCCTATCTATCCGTCTTATCTATCCGTTGTTAGATCAGAAGGTAGAATACTTTAAAGTCGTCAGTTGATGCTTTCACCATGTTATTTCCATGAGTTGTCGTGAAATTATGTGTTGCCCTTTACGTGCCGCGGCGACCTCGCCATTAATAGCTCGTTACTTTATTTATTTTGTATGTTCTATGACATTAACATCGTGACATTTAATATTGATAGTGTATGAAATGTCCGGCGATTGATTAAAAGGTGACTTATAATTAATACACAGAGATCATAAGAAAATATGTTGATGGTTTTAAACACATGACTTAGGTACATGTCGTCTTCACGCTTGTTCATTGAGACTAAGTTCTTAAAAGATTCCCAGTATTATCTTTTCACTGGTACTAATTTAATGTACATATTAAATACTGTTTATTGATCGTATAACGATGGTTATTACTGTGTTCGTCATCGCTCTATCGGTCGTAATTAATACCTGACTATGTGCAAGTGAATTATTGTTTAGTTAGACTTAGGAAAAAAATGCTTGTTTGTGTTATATAGTTTTTTATGCATGGGAACCAGAAAAAAGGTGTAGACCAATGTATATATAGTATGATTATATAAAAAAAAATAATTATCATCTAATTAAAAGACTTATAAAAATTAAAAGTTAAACCTTTTTTCACACGAATACCTATATGTATAAGAGGAAATATAACATCTTAGATGAGAAAATTGCATATTGTTATTGTATCAGGTGAAGCACTGTATAATAAGTAGCGTCTGTTTGTGTGTTTTTTCTATTTTCATCTGAAATGACTGGACAGATTTTGAAATGAAATAATAAGAAGTAACTGAGACACATTTTCATTAATATAAATAGTTAAAAATAAACATTTTAAAAACCAAACGGCGGCGGGGTACAGAAAGTCAATTAAAAATATTCTTTAATAACAATATCTACAAAATCGATACAACATACTTCATAGTTTATCATCATCACCTACATGTTCCGTCCTCTTCATCATATGTTGAGGTCTGGAGAAGCAACAACAATATACCGATTATTCTTTAGAATAATGTTTGTATTTTTAATTTTATAATAAGAATTAAAACTATGTCATGATTGAGAACTCGAATTCTATAGTATTAGACTTGATTTTACTCAATGATTAATAAAAGTTTTATCCGTCCCCTGTCGTTCGCCCCTCAATTATCAAATGGACCTTCTGTAAACCCAGAATGTGTTCACGTCGCTAATAGTCATACAGGAGATATCGATGGTACGAACTAACAGAATAATATAACCAGAAACACTGTTAGATGGTTACAACAAGATATACGAAAAGATATATAAGCGATAATTGCGGACCGAGTCCATATTCAAATTGTGATAGATGTGACTTTTGAAACATAACAACTATTATATAATTATATTTTATAAACACACAAGTCTTTCTTATTATCAGAATATTTACCTATCAGTTATATTCCTGTTGAGTCAAGTCACGGTGTGTTAGTTATTATTTCTTTCTAATACTTCGGTTCTCGTCTACAATATATCAAAATTTCATTAATTAATTATTAAACTCGTATAATGACATCATAGACTGTTTATAATATGTAATATATTTAATCAGAAGAAAGACATATTTTTTATAGTTAGCGGAACGCATTTTTTTGTACAAATGTGAAAACGAATATTGTGTTTGTTAAGGGCGGTTGTGTTTTTTGGTAAAACATGTCAGAGACCGAGACGTAGTTAGTTTGATGAGACCGCTAACTAGAGGAACGCCAACAAACGACTCTCCCTTGTTATTTTAAACAATTCGATAATGAGGCCGGTCTCCTCTCTGATTGTACTACAAAGAGACTCTCCCCTAATGAGATTTTCCTCCGCCATTTCTAAAATAAAGCAACCGCCAGCCGTGTTTGCCGCCGGCCAGATCGCTACGACTATACGCCTCATTACTACATTCTGAGCTCGTTTATTTAACAACTGTAACTTTCGATGGTTCCCAAATTGTTATAGAATTTGAATACACACATCAAAATATATATAGTATGCAGTATACAGTCGGTACATACTAAAACACGGACAAGTGAGAAGTTTAATGAGTGTAAACTATAGTTACAGCTGATTCAATCACACAAAGTATGTATACTTCAATAGGGTTCACTGATGTGGAAAGTATCGTGAACATGAAACGTTATCATTACGAAATGAAAGATCTATGAATACATAAGTGGAAACATAAATAAACATGTTATAAAACATGTTAAAATACAAATTGTATTAATATTATTGAATAACTTATTCAAAATGAGTTCATTAAAAATAACGGTCATATCAGTTTATCACTGATTTACTTACTTAGTATTTAAAGGTCACTGAACCTTTCAATTCTATTCTATAATGGATGAACGTTAAAGCCAATAATGGACCGTTACAAAAATATGAGTTTAAATAAAATTACATAAATTGAATAACCATTTTGTTCTTCAAATATACGAACTTTATAATGACCGTAACGAGATCTGTTTAAAATGCTATTCAGATTGTAAACAAATGATTCTTTTTACATTACATTAATGCAGCTCTAGTACATATATTCCTAAGTTCTTTTTTTAAATCCCATCCCAGCGATACCCTCAACGAACAGTACTCAGTATGCAAATAATACATTGTCATACATAAGCCATTACCCTATCAGTTCTTCGGAGGTGGTGGTGCGAGGTCCGCAGTGCGCAGGACGAGCCCGCACGCCAATGGCGGGTCTGCTCGCTCTATATGTAAATACGATGTATTCAAATCACTTTAAAATCATACCGCGCATGCACGGCCTGGCGTTTTTTATTGGCGCTTTGCATTTCAAGGGTCTTCTGAATGATTTGAACCCGTGGCGCTAAAGTAGGGTTGAATGGGGATCACACATTCGGGGGACAACCCTTCAGCAACCCTTTTTTTTGTAGATCCAGATGTTTTTTTACTCAGTGAAGGGCACGCGACCCGGACTGTTGACGTTTTTTTTGGTGTGTGTTGCAAAAATTTTAAAGTAATATTAATTGGCAATCCTAACTCCGCACACCTGGTCCTTTGTGAACACGCGCGGCTCCGAGCGAGGGGTGTGTCACGTGTCACTGGATGTGTTCACTATTACACTAATTTCCTGTTCTCCATCATAACGACGACTGACAGGACCAACACCAGCAGCGACGTGACGCGACCAAGGTGCGGTCTGAAGGTTGGTCCACACCACACGTATCGAATGACAGAAACAAAATAAAACGAGCAATGGACGAGCCGAAACAATAAAAATATATGGATTTTATTACACTATGTACTTCTATGCATTTTATAAAGTCGCTTCTCTTATGAGATAAATTGTAATTTAAATTAAAAACCCCTCAATACTAAGCGTCGTCATCACTGTACATCGCTAGCGCCGACTCGACACACAGTTACCAACTAATATAGTTGTTTGTTCAATTTACTAATGTAAGGTGTCGGGTTGCAACAACCGACGCTCCGCTTAATATAACTTAAAACATTCATTGTTTATATACTGACCTCAAGCTGGTGTCGATGTGTGGACGAGACATACAAAACAATTACTATTATGTTACTTTATATTTCATTTTAAATATACCTAACATTCATAATTATATACATATTTGGGATTAAACATGATCTCCTAATGTAAACTATCAGGAAGATATATTACAGTAAAAGAATTTCGACACATACACACACACACACACCCTCAGACATACACACACATATGTACGGTCGTACAGTTCAGAAACGTAGGCTTTTTAGCAAAATCCACACGCAAGGTAAATACGAGCCTCCGAGAGTTTTAGTAATGTTGACTCTCACTTAGTCCCGATCAAATGTTTTTTTGTGATCAATTTTCATGTCATATACTAATATACGTTAGTTGATCATCAAAACACACATACATTAACGGATTTATAAATAGACCCTTTCCTTGTTCATTAATACGGCGGGAACTTAAAGAGAGCAATGTACATCTTTAGATATTTTATTAAATTTACTTTATATTCTCATAAATATAAAGATGAAATAAAATTTAGCTTTCACAGAAACATGCAGTATAAAATGCTATCGTACATAACTTTCATTGTCGTCTCGTTTATTCTACAAGAAGCGGGGATGTGAGAGGGTTCGGTAGTTCGGGTGGAGGCGGAGGGGGCAGGGGGAGGCTGCGGGAGGGAGGGAGGGGGAGGCCGAGAGGAAGAAGGCAACCCTTTCCTCGGGGGGCCTCGACCATCCATCACTAGCGACGAGCGAAATGTATTTTAATCCACTGCCCCGCGCCCGGCAGCTTCATGAAACGTGAAAAATGATCCTCACATACACACACACACACACAGGGTCAGAAGTAGCGACGACGAAGTTAACTACCTGCGTGTATGTGTGGAGTCAAGATTGGATTGCGAAGTTTCAGCCGTTTCTATTGTCGCTAAGTACGGAACGTTCCTTGGCTATCGGTAATAAATGACCTCAAACGACCGCTTCTTATTGCCTTCCTATAGAACTTGTTGGAATGCCAACACCTCCAATATCAATGTTTGCCAAAACTTATTGCAATCCTTTTATTTGCTTTCAAACACTCAAATGATTCATTACCGTCGTTAGAGCATATTTTTTATTTATAACGCGGTACCAGGTACATTTTCCTAGTGTTATTGCCATTTGATTCCTCATGCTGGACTGGCTGCCAAGTCAGCCGAACGGTTCAAGTTTTATAGCCTGAAACGGTCTCAGGAGGCGCTAAGATTTCCGGCCATTCCGAAGCCCGACTTCGTGCCATTAATCAAACACAAATTGTTGCGTCCCCGCTCCCGTCTCCTACGATATGTAAGCTTCAATGGAGCCAGTCATCGCAGCCCTTTGGTAATATTCACCGGAAAATGTTCCAAATCTTTGAGCTGAAAATATGTCGTGACTTAATGATACAGACTGACATGACTGATGACGGGGCGATTCACAGCCTTATATGTAAGGCATGGGTAGAGTTCTTTACAGTTTTACAAAATACAGAGAGAGAGAGAGAGTTTATATACTCTTTGTAGGTTCATACGAAGGAACGACGTAAACTTATAGGAGGAAACATTTTCCTTATGTATGTAAAATACGAATTTGAAATTCTACTCTTATTTCATCGGTGACATGATCCGCTTAAGAGGTAAATTCGATGTCAGTGAGAAGGGAACAAATATAAATGTAGTATGAAAGTTTGAGTGTCGGTTTTGCATTTTATGTCTCAATAAAGGGCGCAGTCGACCCCGCGGCGGGTCGTCACGGCATAATAATAATATTGAATGTTTTATTGGAGCGTCTCCGGTGATATCTCCCGGATTACTAAAACATCTGTCCCGGAAAATTCACTCTCGAAGCGTTTATCGCTAAGTCGAGGGTAGATAGAGAAAAAACTGCAATAACGCGGTGTCATAACAAAGACTCCGCCACCGGCCGATAATACTATGATTAATACCCGGCGTTATCTTGAGAGTTGCAGGCCTCGCCCGCCCCGAGGAAACCGAACGTGAAACATCTTACGACCCGTTGCCGGTGGTGAGATATCGACTTAATATCACTCGCAATAGAGTTCGAAATTTATTGTCATCATATCCGGTTGAGGTATTCTCTAGACCCAACATAAGAGTTACGGATTTCGCATAATGCATATTATATTCTAGCAAGGGAGGCTCGGAGGGTCGCTCGGCTGCGGGGAGGAGGAGGAGGGGGGAACGGGGCTGGAGTACGGAGGAAGTGAAGGTGGAGAGGGTCGCGGGGCAGGAGGAGGGAAGAGGGGGGTGAGGTCCCTGTGACCGCACGTCTTTTGCACGCGACAAGCTCTCGACATTTTTTTATTATTATTGCGCTTCGATGGAATTTATTCCGTCGAGGGTCGGTAATATAATAGCGGACACGCTTATTTGGCTCCAACCACGATTTTGAATATGATTTTTAAGTCGCATAATGGAGTGTGTGAGCCTTTTAGAATTTTTTTAGGGGATTTTAGGGGTGAGGAGGTCAAGAGAGAAAATATGATTTCTATAATTTGTATGAATAAAAGTAACACTGTGTAGTATTGCTTTCACGCGGCATTGAGTGCAGATTAAAGAAACAATTAGTAGAGCAATAAACAATGTTAATAGCTGGCTTCAGAAACAGGTGAGGGTGTTGACGGGGTGTCAGGGCGCGGGGAGCAGGACGCGAGCTCTTGGTAATACTAATATTATATATTATTATTATTATTAAGAAAAACTAACTAGAAACCTGTGGTCTCTTACAGAATATTCCTGAAATGAGATATGACAGACAAAGTTCTAAAAGACCCTCAAAAATATTTAAAATTTAATGTAAGTTTAGAATTTGACCTACTTAATATTAAAATGTACTGCTGCTGAAAAACATAAATATAAGAACCTTTAAATTCTAACGTGATAGTGTCAGGAGCTAAGTCATTATAATCATGAGAGGGAGATATGAGCGATTCAGAGATGTTGAGCTTCATAACAAACAATCATATAACAGACGTAGACATACATATATATGCAAATGATAATCTCGAAATATGGACTAATATGTATGTATGGTGTCTGAACTAGATGTAATGCATGTGTTTTAGACTCCCAGATACATATTGATTACCTGTTTAGAATATTAGTTGTTAATGTAAATACATCTTAATGTTTCACAGAAAGTAATCAGTTAGCAGCTACAGCGGACCGAGGACACCGACATATGAAGTCACATGAGCCAGGATCATCGGCGTGAGATGTGTCTCTCCAAGGGTTCTGCTTCAAACAACTTCATGTACGTAAGAGTCTGTTCCCGCCGCCTCCTCTCCTGTTCTATAATAAACTTCATTATATGTTTAAAACTCATCTCGTCGATATTTCCGCGACTATTCATCTTTTCTTCGCTTTCCGAGTGTGTGTAATGTCTCCGAGCGTTCTCCTGCAAAGCGTCCATTTAACATTGAGCCCTCCTCACATATTCTGTTCCCCCGGCGTGTTCCGTTCTCCGTATCTCCGTCGGGGGGTGGCGTGTCACGTTATGATGGTAATGGATCGTACATATTTCTGCAATTGATTAGGCGGGGGCGGTTGCCATGGCGACGGGTTGCACCTCTCCCTGCCCCCGTCCCCCGGCCCGAGGTCCCTCGCCCCGGCCTCGCCCGAGACAGTCATTGTATCAGTGAGAGTGGCTCTCGTATTGCACTCCCCTCTCAGATATGTTCGTTATTGTGTATGCAACTATTAACATTAAAACTATTTGGATTTATCTCTGCTCTTATTTATGTTACACGTCAACGTATAGTTGTAGAGGTCATCTGTTTGTTACCATGTATGGTATAGGTACTGTAGATATAAATATGAAGCGAAGAAACAATCAGCATCTCGACGATTATCCTTATAGGTAGATAATAGTTTGTACTTTTTTATTCTAAGCGATTTTGCAATGATCTCGCTGGTCACATTTGTTTCTTTTGTTGTTACGGCAGTAATAGTGGTCGATTACAGAACATAACAATGAATAATATTAACAGATGCTCGTTTCTCTTGTAACGCCTCTTGAGCTATCAGTGTGTAAGTCGTGATGTCTTCCACGGACCACCTCTGATCTCATCGACGTTTCTCAACCTCGTCGTTACTAACAGTGTCTTGTAATTACATCGGTTCTAGCGACACGGGAAGCCATACAGTTTCAACTTAATTTTCTCGGTAAAGGCTAATTCGCGCAACTAATTATTGAGGCCTCCTCGTGCCTCCCTCTCCTACAACCCCGACGGATCCTCTCCACCCCTCAGGAGTAAATTGATTCGTATAACGAGCTTCGTACGTGATAACCTTTATAATTAACGGCCTTTAAACTATCAGCGTCCTCGTCGTGTCCGGATGATTGGACTACATTAAATTATTCATACGGATATTATGTATTCTTTTTTTTTCTAATATTGTTCTAATAACTCGTACTCTAAATGAAAAATCTAATAATTATACAGTAAATAATATTTTCTAACACTGATAGTGATAAAGTCACTTATATTTCTTCTCTGTACGAACTTCAACATTCATTTTTAAGTTATTGAGTCCCCATTTGAAACACAGTTTCAAACATTATCGTTAATGTATATATCTTCTAGACCAGATATGTGTTGTAAGATGAATATAGCTGCCTGTATAACAATGGGCATTGATTGGTTTTTGATGTGTGTGTGTTTGAGTGTGTGTGTGTGTGTGTGTGTGTCTGGACCTACGGTAACTAGGAGCGAAGTGTCGCGGAGGCTTAATTACCTCAGAGGAGGCAACCGGAGTATGGAGAGAGGCAGGAGGTGGTGAGGGAGTGTAGCGGGTTGAGGCTGGGGTCGCGGGCGGCTCCGTTCGACTTGAGACGTTTAATGTAACTTGCGAAGCATTGATTAGTTTCATTTTAGTACATTTTCCCCCGTCCGGTGCAACTTTTTAATTGGATGTTTCTTAATTTAATACATATACGTATATGTATACGAATATATTTATAAATATATTTAATATCAATAGAACGTCTTAGAAATTAATTTCAACGAAAATTTAGATGAGTACTACAAAAATGTTTAAACGATATAAATTTTATCTGTAATGCTAGGAGTAGTTGCGGAGGTCGTCTTTATTACTACATTGAAGTAAATTTTCTTTCTGTTTCTCTTAGTTATGTTGTATCAATACATTATTATCGTTTGAATTGACTCCAGTCTTTTTTAATGTTAGTACTCTCGCTATACTGTAACTTATGTGATTCTCGATTGTTTCATTATAACTTCTATTTGTTAGTTTGAACCTCAGTTAAACATTGTCCACCATGACGTTGCATCGCCCCTCTACGTCCCACTATTGATGTGAACACACAAACACACACACAGGGTCGCAGGTTCGATTACTCTCTCCCTCTAATGAAGGGCATCCCATCGGCTTATGCAAATACGGCTAACGTATTCAGAGCGTGTGCGAGGGTGTGCGAGGGTGTACAGCGTGCGAAGTACAAGGTGCGAGGGTGACGGGCCGAGGGTGAGGGGTGAGAGGGTGAGAGGGTGCATCGATCGCATGCGGCATGCATAATGAATACCACCCAGCATCAGCATGTTTACTGCGTGCATTATACTGTGTATCAATACAAGTAATATAACACTGCTAGTGTCTCGTTATATTAAATATCGAAGTCGTTTTAATGATCGCTCTAACAGTGTTCATAAGGCGCTCACATTAAAACTTGTCAACTCATAAATAAATGTTTAAAGTGTCAAATGGCCCATAAAGTGGTTCATATAACGTCATAAATTGTGGTACATTTTAGAGACGCGTGTTACGAGCTGACTCGAGCCGTGATACACTCACACTCACGCTGAGGGCTCATCAGCAGATATTATAGTTAGGTTGATTTAAAACAATCGGAACTTTGTGTTGTTTGTTTTCAAACTACTAGCAAGGCATGTGGATGTTATTCATAGATGAAGGTTCAGCAGGGGTCCAGGAGGACGAGCCTCCGATAGAACAGAGAGGGAGGGGGAGGAGGGGGAGGGGGGTTGCATTCCTCGCAGCCAATATTATACGGCCCTAGTTAGCGCGCACTGATATTAAGAATTCCTCGACGCACAGACAACTTATAATGTAACCCTTAAATGTATCAAATTCAAATATATGTTCTTATTTCAGATGAACACTGTGTAACGTCTTCTAATAACGAGGGACAGAAAAAAAGGAAGTCCTGGATAGATTTTATATACGCATTATTGAAAACCATTTAATATTGAAAATTAAATTGAAATTATTATAGAGTAAGTCAGATTAAACGACTGTTTATTTTAAAGGCTTGATGTTACTGAGATGTATCAGTAAACAAGATTGTTGTTAGCGGCCTCTATGTTATATTAGTCTGTGTCCACAGATCGGAGCGCGGCACAAAGTTGGTAATTGAAAAATCCTTGCACCGTCTCGCTCGAATTAAACTCGATACAATCCTCGTACAGTCTCCGCAGGACAGGCTCGATGGACGGCACCCCGCCAGCCACCACCAGCCACCACCCACTACCACCCTCTTTGTTTTGGTGACCGTCTAAAAAGATATTACATTCCTCGCCGCGATCTACGAGATACTAAGTCGAGATCACAATTACTTTGCTTAACCGGCCATCGGCAAACTCGTTGTATTGGTTTTGTCAACTGTTTACGTTTGACAGAGGTTTGAATAATATATATTATATAAAGGATGGAAGTTTTTATCTGTACAGCGTCGAGTTGAGTCTTTGTGTATTTTATATATAAAAAGCTTCCACTGTAGATATTGTAGTGCTCATTATGTCCGGCGAGATTCCACTCTTTATTTATGAAATAAAAATGAAAACATTTCTGCGGACCGCTGACGAATGGCCCTCCTCCACCTCCTCCTCCTCCTCCTGCAGCCTCCGATGTACCAACACTCTGCCCCCCCCCTCTCCCCTCTTACTAACCTCCTCGGGGGTGGTATAAGGACATTATATAATTCAGCCACCTTTTGGTAGGCGTTGCGTTTGTCAACGGCGGTTTAAATCGCTGTATATTTTTACAATTATTTTCTAAAATCAGTAAAACTTATAAAATATGATTCATGGATTTATACATGTAAATACAGGTAAGGGTCTGTTAAAAACAAGAAGAGCTAAGTAGCAAAAAGAGTTTCGTTCTAACAGAGATACGTTTCTTAAAAATAAACTATCTTACAAATTGGAAATACATTTAAAACATAATAATATAATATACATTTTCAATATATTTCATGACGATAGTCACTATCATTGCTTACAATAAATCGACTATTACTAATAAAGTCACACATCCCGCCACACATACAAATGTTATCACAGCCTGCTCCGACCTTTACTCAAAAATTCCATTATAAAACCATTCCGGGGCCGGCGCGGCCTTCCCCTTGCTATATTTTTGATTACGTTGTAAACAACTTACTACATTCCTGAGCAAGTGTTTAAAATTGTGCTCGATAGCGACTGCAGGCCTCGCCGCGGGGGCGCGCCGCGCGGTCCAAAGGGCAAAGTAATTGGTCTCGAGAGCCCGCAGCCCTACGACATATTGCAAACATATTCTCCGCTTGAAATTTATTGTAAACCGTGGCGGGCGGGGATTTGAATCCGGGCGGCCGGGCGGCCGGGCGGCCGACCCCACGGCCCGTGTTCCGTGTCAATAAACCGAATGGACTTTGGAAATTCGCTACATTCGCGTCCTGTTTGCGTTTGCTGGCTTCGCTTTTTTCATGAGAATAAAACTCTTCCCTCCCCCTCCCGCCGGCCGACCCGCTCCGCTCCGGGCTCTTCCGATTTTATTTATCTAAGGTTTTCCATTCCGTCGTAATTGTGTGAGTCGCTGTCTCGATTGTTGCTAGAGCGAATATTTATTTGGGCCGGAGTTTGCTTTCCATTTGGGCGCGAGTTTCATCTCGCGATGGCCGCCGGTCTTCGGCGGCATTGTGTACAAATTGAATTTGTTGGCTCCCGAATCGAATGTTGATAGAAGAAATGACTTGTCTTCACCGATTGACACTATCAAAAAATTGATCATCTCTTCGATTCAATCATCCCACGAATCACTAACTCGAGACGACATAAACACGACCCTCGGCTCGCTATGTGGACTCATTGTTAATGAACACACCAGTGGTGTGCGCCACGCAAATGATATCTTAAATTTAATCTACATAAAGAGCCGGCGAATCATAAAAGACCCGCTCCATAACATGATACCGGCGACGGCGAGTGGCCGAGGGTGTGCCCGTCGTTATTATCCAGAATATATTTGGCGTAAATCTTTCACGGCAGCTTTTATGTATATCGTAAAAAACGGAGAAGTGTCCGAGTAGTGAGCCATAAATATGGATCGTAAAGACGACCATAACAGCACCGACCGCTCGCTTCGTGTATTAGTGTGAGCGGCGATCAAACACGTACTGTACATGCAAATTAAAACATCATTAAAATTATAATGACGACAGAGGGCCGCAGGTGACTGCTTGAGGCTGGCCGCGGTCCGGACAAACTACTGAGGAGATGTTTATCATGACGACAAACTTCATGATCAGTGGGGTCAGTTAGTGGGAGGCCTACGACATGTTTTTTGCATTATATTTATATCAGGAGTGTCGCTCCTCGTGTTCCTCCTCGGAGTAGCGGGAGGTCGTTCTGGAGGGACGCTCCGCTGGTTTTGCGTCGTTTTGCATGATCAGCTTTATTTAGTATCTATTTATTGTTTTTGTCGACAGGGAAGGGAGTCGCCGGCCACGAGTAACGTTCCAGCGAAGGGGAAATATTTTGTTTTTGTTATCGTTTTAAGATATTATTATTTATTATATAAACGAAATTTACAATATACACATCATCCATAGTACCGTACACAGTCGTCCTCGAGTGTATATTACACTTATATAAACAGTTCAAAGGAATGACGCGGATTCATATCTTAATAGTTTTCTTTGTGTGATTTCAGATGATGCGAGTTACACGAGACCTGAAGACATCACGAAGACGCTCCGGTACAGGCTCCGATATTAAAAAGTAAGTTGTCATAGATGTTGATAGTAAAAACACAACAATACTAGTAATGTTGTAATAATAATAATAATAATATTTATTTGCTCCGAATGTAGGTACAGAATATAGGTGTATATAATTGAATCTAGTATAAGTTCCGGTACATTCTACCTTAAGGCATGCAAATGTTAGGCTTAAATTATAAATTCAAATTAACCATTAAATTAAAATTAGAAATTAAATAACAATGCAAATATTAGACTTAAATTATAAATTAAAATTAAACAATGCAATTATAATTATAAATTCATATTAATCAAAATTAACAACGATAGATGGATACATGATTAAGTTATATAGATACCTTTTTATATTCATTAATTTATTACAATATTATGTTTCGTTCATTAGGTAATCATTTATTGAGTAATAACATTTGTTGACTAGAAGGGAAAACAAAATTTTTTTAAATTTTACACAAGTTAAGTCTTTAATTTCGTTTGGTAATTTATTGTATATGATAGGGGCCATGGTCAAAATGTTCTTTCTCAATAAAGCAGTTTATTTGTAGATATTAAGATTCAAGAAAAAACAATATCGTTCACAATCTGTTGTGTTTATAACACATAGCTGGTGTGTGGTGTGACGTCACGGGTCATCCCGCTAGAGCCGCTGATCACATGACACATACATGGAATATATTTGCCGAGAGGAGCGGCGTTTTTGGATATGACGATTATTGTTGTATTAAAATTATAATGTTTTTGTTGCATCATATAGCCTTGACTTGTATAGTGACAGAGGGAGACGGGTGTGTCGCTGGTCATATATGTATATTACCATTACTTGTATATGTCAGCCTTCACTGTTTATAACAGTTAGGAACAAATTGTTTATAATGACCATGAGTTAGTGTTGGTGGTCGGTGATATTAAATCACTATACATAACGTTTGTTTCCTGGTTGTATGTGTGTCGCGATTGAACGAGATTCTCTCTAAGACAAACTGTGTTATTTCTCGCGGGATGCTCGCGGGTGGCTGCGGGGTGTCTATGTGTAGGGGGGTGCAGGGGGGGGGGGTGTCTTAGATGACGTCCATATAGCGGGAGGGTTGAAATGGGGGGTGGTAATATTTTTACGAGCGTGTTTTATTGCCTTTACAATAAATTTGTCATCGGCCGAGTCGCGGGTCCCGCTGCCTTATTATGACACATGTAATGCTGGAATCGTAAACATTGCAATATACTTTCACAGAGATCCTACTTACAGTCCTTATAATATTTATATGTATTGAGATCGAATTGAGATTCACATTCTGCACGAAATCATTTCATATAAAACTATAAGTCTAAGTAAGTGTTACGATGGTTTTAGTTCCGTTCAGTTTATTCGTAGGACGTACCTACTTCTTAAAGCTCAATATTCATTATAGATCATCAGAACAGTCAACCAACACAATTATATTAAAATACTTTATGAGTTTGTTACGTTCACGGACTGTAGTCCCGTCATCTCGTATAACTAATTTCCAATATTATAACTTAAGGTTTGTTCCGTGTGATTCTGTAACTATCGTCGGAGAGTATTCATGACCGTGTCATTGATAATATATTTACTAAGGATTTTTCTCAATAAAGATCTTAAAATTATCCGATCTCATCAATTCATTTTCTTTTTAAGCGTCTTTTAATTAGTAAGTTTTTTCCGTTGGTTCAATGTGATTCTCTCACACTCACACTCACCACCTGTCCTCATCATGTTCCAGGGTCACGGCGGAGGAGACTGACTGTCTTCACTACATGATGATGAACAGGAGTCAGGATGTTGGCGGCACCGTCTGGACCGACTCCTTATATATATTTAGGTAGTATTATCTCATCAACTAACTATTGTTCCACATTTTATAATATTCAAGTATTTTTTCAATGTCAGAAGACATTAAATTTTGTTAAAAAAATCTCATGTTTTTGAGTCCCTCATATATACTCTGTGTGATCTTTACGATGATAGATTATATTGTATTGACTTTTCAATATCATGTTATCAAAATCATAATTTACTTTAAAATATATTATATGAATTAGATGTCATTCATGTACGCAATAAGTTTTGTTTTATCATATAAAAGATCAATAAACATGATTTTATAAAGCAAAGAAAATCTTTTTATTGAATAAACTTTATTTAGAACAAGTAGTAAAAAGAATTTAATTAAGATCGTATGAATAATAATCAGAAAACAACAGTCGAGACTTAAAAGACAAAATAAATGAAATATACATATAACAACAAGTAGCAAGTTGACTGATCGTTATATACACAGACATACAGACGAGACGACTTGAGAAGAGATGAGAAGAATGACTTGAAATATGTGATATACATATGTTGTTATCGTTTAAAATATAATGTGCTCACACAAAAACGAATCACGGTTCTTTCCATAGATACTTAATATTACTGGAAAACAAAACAAATTAAATAAAACACTTGAAACACAATAACACTACAGAATCATTTGTATTGTTGACACAAGCAAAATTCTTAAGGATCTATAGTGCAGGAGACTCGCTCTGTTTGTGAGACGATGAATCACTTTTAATACGAATTTACTGAACGGTAGTAGGCGAGGCTGGAACTGAATGTGTTGTGTTGACTCCTAGACTATAATAAGAGAACAATAGCGTTATGTAAGCAAATATTAGCATCGACTATCGGTCGTGGCGAGGACCGAGCTTGAACGATGAGGGATGAGGAACGAGGGCCGCAGACACTCCACATGTACTATCTGACGGAGTTACCTTTGTTGTAGTGTGGAGTTTATTTATAAGTTATGATTAATAATAATACGATGAAATGACTCGGCGAGGACATAGTTAGCAAGTTTATAGATGTTAGGTGCGGACTTGACGACACACCGATAATGTATTGAAGAGGTAACAACGAACTTACTGGAAAATATGTCGTTTATTACAATCGTCCAGAGATATAAGGCTAATATTTGTACACAAAATTTCACCGTCTCTTTAGTGGAAACAAAATTCAGGAACATCGGAAGAAGTTGTAACTTACACAATAAGGTATTCATATATAAGATACAGAATACACTCCGCGTTGGTCAGTCACTGTAAATAACAACTGGCGCATCCTTCACAGTAGTCCTCCATACAAACAACATTTAATAAAAATCAGTTTAGTTGTTTATCACTAAGAGATAACAGACAGACAAACGACACAGAACAATAATACATATTCATACTGACAGTTGTATATATTTTTGTAAAGTACTATTTCGATAATCAACACTCATATAGAGCTTACTACTTAATATGCTCCTCTAATAAAACGTTGGTTTAATTCTGCAAGTCTCTCTCGTCCAACATGAACTACCTGTAATGTAATCTACACTTTTTATTAATTTCTTAAGCTTTGTGAGGAAATTTTTTAAGAGGAAACCCTCTCAAATTATGTTTTCAATCATACCGACTATCGCAAAAGTAGTCACTTCATCGACTGTTTTAAATGAAATAGGTATAACAGCACACACACTATTATAAAAAAAGTTAAAGAAATCTTGTTATATAAAGGTACTCGTTCTTGTAATGAAACAAATTTTCTTTATTGATTAGAAACAACAAAACATACTTTATTGAACGCTCTTTACATTACCTGAAAAAGGATAAATCCGTGTTCACGATTGGAGTTACGAGACATGTGTTCACGTTACCTACATATTAAGTTACATTTTTTTAACAGTTTAAGTTTCTTCTAAGGTTTTTTCTCAATATAACCGGATTCTTAGCTGAGTGTAGTTTCCTTACCGAGTGATATTACAGTACTATGTGACATGATGAGATGATGATGAACTTTGAAAAGCAACCATTCTTTATAATTATTCAAGTTCATATAAATAAAACGTAAGGCATTTAACTAAACGATGCAAAAGATTTTGAAAGTAGCTGAATTACTCATGAGATTTTACGTGTTTTCTATTGTATCAATATTAGTATTTCGGGTCGATAACCTCATAGTTGTAGACGCTGGCTCGTATAATCAGACGAACGGTTCTATTTTACTTGATCGACCTTAACTCCTCTATGATGGGTCGGTCATATCGTCATGTCGCTCGTCCTGTAAGATTGATATATCAGTGAGCATCAACGTTTCACTCTGTAATGAATACTCTTATACATACAAGAATGCTTCATAAGTTTTCTCTCCCTGTATAACATGGTGTGATATGTTTTAAAACCATCATGAGTAAGACACTTCACTGACGATAATTTCTTTGTCTGTCCGTATTCTGTTCGTTCTGTTATATAAATCTTTACATTGACTTATGACTATAAGGACAAGCCGCAGATTATCCTCGAAGCCAATGATCGTTTCATCTCTTTGTTAAGAAAGTCAGCAGCGTCCTCAACGTGGTCAGTGTCAGTTCTGTCATAGGTTTATTCAGTTCGATACGTCCAGAGTGATCGTTATCGAGTTATCAATAATATATCACTCATACCTTGTATGAACCGTTCACACATATATTATATTTTCCAGTCCGCAGTCGTGTTCCCTCAGCCTGAAGATGGCCCTGTTAGTTTTAGTTATGATAAATGTACCAAGTTTAAGTTCTAAAGGAATAAGGAAGTCGTTAACTTTAAGTTATAACTAATCTGTTTTAATAGAATGAAATAAAAATTATAACATTAGAACTGTATCAAGACATATTTATGAATTAAAGGATTTCTTTCCTCTTACTTAGAGCGTGTCCGCTGAATGTGACTGCTTCCTTTTAGTTTATAGTAACACCAGAGTATCATCAGGTCTTTTGTTCCATATCTCTTAACTACAGTATATATTGTTGGTCGATCACACCACACAAAGCAGTTAAGTTACTGAATATGTGATACTCTTGTATCACATTTAACATGAGATTGACATATAACTATCTAGTATATATTACAGAAGAGTTTTTAATGTTAAAGTAAGTAAAAATAATGTATTCTAATATCCGCTAAACCAACACATATCGTTGGTAACTGGAACCAGCGGACACTTCATATGAAAATGATTCGCGTTTGGTAACTACACACAGACGTGTCGTTCCTCAAGTATTGTACTCACGGTGGACAGCGATAACTTTCACGTCTCCTAATCAAAGTTCAAACATTCACTATCGATGCTTTGGTGTCATCGTGTTACATATTCCTTCATACGAATTTAAATAACACCCAGATATTACATTGATATTACGATACTCGATGGTATATTAATTTATGTTTATTTCTGTTGGAAACGATTAATGTGACTAATCAAGATATACATATCTAAGAATCTGTTTTTACTCGATCTGTAAACTCGCATTGTGGAAGGTCATTCCATTATCATTTATAAGAAAATTATATAAAAAAAGTTGCATCAACATTCCCAATAGGTCGTTATAAAATAATCACAATTAAATGACACATAATTTTTGTGCATACACTAACTATGATTGTTTTAATCGGTCCGATAGATAATATTATTTATTTAACGTGATACGGTGACATCATAACGTAGCATTGCTCGTACGAGCGCGCTACGAGTAGGCGTCGCGACGTGCGCCCGCGCAGCCCGCCCTCCCACGACCCGGAGCGACACACAGAGGGACACAGACGGACACACAGGGACACAGAGAGACACACAGGCGAGCCGCATCGGCCATTAGTTATCAATGAGCGTGTAGTGTTCGTGCCCGGCGAGTCGTGAGCGTTGTAATGTGAACTCTACGAGTGACCTGTTAAGTTATAAATCATAACGGACTCACGAGCAGCTGCCTCACACCCCGTCCTAGTGGACAGTGACACAGGTCGAGGAGTTTCCTCTGCTCTATGACATGGATCTCAGTCAGGTCGGTGACGGACTTTAATAGTTTTTATTTTTTTCCAATTCTAGGAATCTTTTTGTTGGAATTTTCACAGAACTCCAATACTTTTGTTTACAAAACGATCCTATAGTTGATGTAGGGATGATGTCGGTAGCACACCACACCACACCTTCTAGTATTCGTAAGTCATGTAGGAGGTGCGTCATTTTCCTTTTAAATATTTGTGTAGTATGTAATGTACGTTTTAAATATTTATGTAGTATGAAACCGGGCAGTATCTGAAGCACACGTCACTCGGTACATTTCTATTCATATATGTTAATCATAATGAAAGGTGAGCTCATCTCTAATGAGGCGACCGTGGACCAACTCCGCTGTCCGCTCCTCAAATTTCCTGTGTATTTTTTTCATCTATTTATACTTTATATAGAATGAGTTTTAATATGCTCGTTTGAAGCGACTCCAGGAGGATATTTTTTGTGCACTATTGATAAATAAATATTATTTAATGAATATATATCACGCATTCGGAATCGAGAAAAATGTAGGCTTTCAGTTGAACTAATTATTAATTCAGTGAGGGGATCGTATTTCTCAGACAAAGTATTTCTATTTTAGTTAAAATTGAAGTGAAAATTGGCATTATAAGTAGCGCGATTGTTCCTATATTTGAGAAAAGGTCTCTTCTCACATGGAGAAGATTAGAGCATGAATCTAAAATTGGCGATTTCAAAAGTTATAATTTGAAATATAACACAATAAGCAAAGGTTTCCTCACGATGTTTTTCTTCATCGCCTGTCAGCTGTGTTTAGACACTCTTAAAAAGTACATAGAACTTGGAAATCACCGGCACTTGCCAGGTTTCGAGCCCGTGCCTTTAAATTCCACCACGACTTATGAATACATCGATCGTCATCGTAGGACGGTCTAGTATAACACATATATTATATACATTTGTATGTAATATGAAAGCCATAAATTGCTAATTTTTAGTGAGTTTAAGAATCTTCAATGAACGTATCATTCTTCTTTTTCTATCATACAATAGCTGAGGCGTAGTTTGGCCTTACTAATTTTTTCCGCGGATTTCATTAAACAATAACTTTATACATATTCCAGTGAATATGTATGTTTTTAAGCATTTTTAAATGTATCATGTTTATTCAAATTCGGTTAAGTAAAGTAACAAAAGAAGTACAGTTTTACGATAATTTTATATTTACTTAATATAATTAAGTGGCGTTATATAGTAACTTTCACATTATTATGGTTTTCATTGCCATGCAAAATTATTAGCATTTATTTCAACATAAAGCGAAACAATAGGATTTTTACTCGTACATTGATAATAAATTATTTTAATTCACAATATTTTTATAAACAAGTATTTTGTAAGTTAATTAGTGGAGACTATTCATATGATTGTGTGTTATACTCCTGAGATCGACTATATGCTTTTTGTATAATATAAACCTCATACTCTACTCATACAATACAATAAAGCATTCATTAAAACTGTTCAAGTGAAGAATTACTTATGAAATGCAAGTAGGTATAATGTTTATATGTATAGGAGTTTCATAGTTTTTATATACATACATACATACATACAGTATTACAGGAAGCACGTCGGTCACTATCGTAAGTGATATAATTTGAAAATAGTACAGACGGGTCACTGAACCTTATCAAACTTTACGATGAGCGTTTCACAAGTTTTAATAATCAAGAAAAGGAATGACGGTCATTTACAGAAGACGTCAGGGTCACTGATGATGGAGAGCGGCTGACTGAGAATGATGAAGTGATGATGAACTGGAGGTGATGAGATCACACGAGGAGGAGACTGGCTTGAAGGTGTCTGTTTATAGTTGCTTTGATAGAATCAACCGGCGCTACTCGGAGATTAAAATTAATTTTCAGCAAACTAGGACATGAACTATACTCCCTAACTCGGAGATCGTTAATGATCACTGAGCTCACTTTATAAGTTGAGTTTGAAATCTATTGTAGACATATAGGAGGCTGAAGAGAGAACGGTCGCGTGTAATATGTAGGTGTATTGATAAGAGTTGAACATCGGAAGGTTTCCCGAAGACAGGTGGGGCTCTGACACACATCGTGACGCGAGGACCACGGACGGACACCTGACGCTATCACTGTTTACACAAGATATTGTAATGTGTCAGTAGACTCACTCGTTACTCGTAGGTACCTGTACAGTGATCCGCGATATGCGAACTTTTATTTGCTCAAGATATCGAAAGACATTCAGACCGTAGGATATGGGTCATTCAAATGTTGGAAAACATTAATCAGAACCAGTGATAAACCGGATTAACATTACTTTTATCTCCTAACCTACTATATAACAAATATTTATTATTTTCTTTCAAACTCGCGTATTAATAAGTAGTTTCCATGTATTATTTTGGGAACCAATTTCTTTTTATTATTATATGTAGTTATATATTTGACATATTCACACTTTCACTTTCATGGTAAACAGACTGAAGTCTTACTTATAGATTTGTTCACGATGTTACACGTTGTTGCTTGTCTTATTGTTCTACTCATCTTACTGAGATGTTAGATCGTAGGTAAATAGTTACAACAGTCGACTGTCAACGTGGTGAATGTTCATCATCCTAAATTATATGTTATTAATAATTTTACAAAAAATTTCACTCCCTGGAAATATTTGTGAAATTATTTCATTTTTTTATCAAAATTTGAACAAAGAAGATAACCAATCTGAAACCAGAGGTTTCTGTTTGTATCGAAGTCTATTCTTTTTATTTTAATCGTACATGCTTCTCTGTTTAAAGTATTTCTTATGTGTAAGTAATATTTTTTATGTACACACTATACCTCTGAAATCATCCCTAATACCATTCCTGTACGCTCTTCATAAAATAAGAATTTTTGTTGAATTGAAAACACAGTTTTATAAATAACTGTTAAGACTACCCCAAACACATTATATTAAGTCATAAATCCTAATTTAATTATATTAATATTTGTATTGTATCATACATTAAGGAGCGGCGCGGTCGGCCGTGCTTCCTAGTATTTATATGAAGTATTTATTAACATGTGAATGTTTATCAAGTTTTGTGACTTAGTTATGTTCTTTGATAACGCGAGGTGTGTTCATGTGTGTGTGTATGTGTGTATGATGCGCACGAGTCACTCAGAGCGAGGCGGCCGCGGGGGGCTTAAAAAATATTATGTTATAAATTAATTTCTTAAATTTTTTTAAATGTTCCCTTTTAATATATGCTGTGTTTTATAATGTCCTAATTTGTTTCATCGAGCCCGTAACGACTGCCAATTCCAAGTAAAAATTTTAAATGCTAAAAAATGATATAAATGAAAAAACCATTTGTAAGATATCGACTGTTCGTTTAGGTATTTGTCATAATGTTAGCTGATACAAGTCTTTAATATTCCAATCTTTGAGTTATTTTGGTTGTTTATTTAATTTTTGTCATATTTTGGTAACTATCTTGCATGTTGAGTGATATTTGCGTATATGCGTAATTCTCAGGAAACGTTCTAAGTCTATTGGAACTCATTTTACCGAAATCAGTAACTTTGATAATTTTAAGATTGATTATAATTTGGTAATATGTAACAGCGAATGGAGTCTGTTTTAAAGTTAGCTAAAAAATGTAATAAATGATATGTACCGTATATTGTAAGCCTGTGTCCATAAACACACAATGTACAGCTCCTTGTATGGAGGCGGTCGTGAAGGTCCTAACATTATTATTAATAATATAATGTGAGAGACACTGAATCAGTGACTTGTTCACATACTCGTAACACACTCGGCGACTGACTTAAACAGTATGTGTAATGAAGGCGGGCCAACCATAACAGGTGTCGTGTGTCCGCCAGCACAGCCTGGCGACGAGTAGGAGCCTCACGTACCAGGGAGTGATAATGAACGATGTCAATCAGACATTCAGAGGAACACAGATAAGAGCGAGTAAAGTTTACGCGGACGTGTCTAATGGCGGTTATGAATAATAAAATATGAAATGTCATATATAACAAGTGCCGCAGACGAGCTCCGGGCCGGGCTTGCCTTTAAAGGATCGGCTCAAGTCGGCGTCGCATCAGTATTCAGCGAGCTCTATGTAGGGAGAGGCTGGCGCCTGCGCTTTCCCATTTAGCAGTCAAGAATAGACACGAGCTGCTTGGCGGGGAACACGTGGGAGACACATTCATCACGGTCAGAACACGAGATCTGAGATAGGGAACTGGACCCTGAGTCGGTGGTGGTGGTGCGAGTGGTGGCCGGTGGTAGCCGGTGGCCGGTGGAGGGGCGGGAGGCGTGGTAGAGGCGGCGCACGCGCACCTCACTCGCTATTAGTCGACGAACACTTCCTAGTCGAGCCCCATTGGCTTGGTGCGAGCTGAGCCGGCGAGGAGTCTGCGGGCGAGGACATGATGCGTCACATGTTTTATGTGATTGAGATGAGCTCGGCAGACATCATTATTCATAGGAATATCTCACTACTTGAATTATACATTTATTTACAGTTAGAGGATACAGAAGTGTCTATTGTATGGAAATTGTCGCGAATCCATTATAATACTTAATACGACTCTCTTAAATCTCCAACCCAGCTCTGTCCCACTCGATAACACATGTATAGGACTCGTAACATCATGTATAGGACTCAGGTCAAAGTTCATTTGGCCGACACGGTCAATCATCGATTCTTATTTTTCTCAATCATATAAACACTTATTTTTCTACGACAATCTTAATTTCAACATAAAACGTTATTTCATTCCTAATTATACAGTTTGTCTTTGAAATCTTATTTTTCTATCAAAATTGGGTTCACTGACCTCCTAAACCTTCATATTAAGTTAATTTAATTGTTTTATTTAATATAAATTTATACTATAAGTACGTGACAGTAAGTATCTATGGGGGTTTTGTCCATAATGAGCCCACAAATGTAAGCTCAGTTATATTTTCTTATACAAAATTTGTTTTAGATTGACAAAAAATATATCAACATATTGAGTACAAAACGGTTTTTACAAATACATACATACGATTTTAATAAGGTGGAATAAAAAATTAAAGTGTTATGTATAATTGGAATATGGATATCGAACTAGAATCGAAATGATCACTTGATGAACTTGGCTAAATTAGAGAGTAGCGGCGATGACCCACGACATGGACTTGTCTCCATTAAATATTCAACGTTATCTGAATATAAAAGAAAGTCTAGAATGAATATTTAACTATTAATATTATGTTAGTTGTCGTGGAAACTTCATAATTATTATAATGATAATAACTTATTGTCTATTTGTATTTTTTACATCAAGTCCTATAAATGTATTAATTGTATCGCTGCCGACTCCCCGTCTGTCTGTCTGTGTACTATCAAACACCGATCGTTACGCTAGTTTAATTCAATCAGATAGCATTATTAATAGTCCGTAGTTAACAGTTTTTTTCTTCGGCGTGTATCGCTTATTGTTTCTTTGTTTTCTTGCACTCTTTAATGTTTTCTACGTCATTTGTTTATAGGAATTTAGTTATGTTAATTATACAAGTAATTATTTGACGTGAAAAAGTAAGAAGCTCTCGGCACGTCCGTTCATCGAGACCGGCCAGGAATCCAGGCAGCGTTTATTATATATGTTTATATAATGAGTGACGCTGAATGTGTCCGGGAGATGTTGACGCGAGGGTTCCGTGACTCAGTCAGTGTTAAATGAACTCAGAATGAATTGTGTCATTCATTGAATGGCTCATTCACCAGCCGGCCACAACGAGGACAGCTCGTGGCCACAACCGGTTTTTGTCTCTCATCAATTGTCCGACCAAAAACTTTAGTTTTAGGAACCCCGGTCTTTAGGTATTACTGTCTCCGTCTCCAAACATGTTCTCGTGGTTCATGTCTATAAATTCAATTCTAATGTTATTAATTATAACTCGTCAGTTTGTCAGTACACGTCATTTCGAGGGTCATTTCATTGCGTTCTGTAGTCCATGTGGTCGGTGGTCGGTGGTCTGTGAGAGACTGCCCCTGGCATTCAATATTAATTTAGTGAGTCTTCGCGGCGACATTTTTGTTTTTGCGTGCCCCCTCCCCCCACCCCCCGCGCCGACCACTGCAGCCTTCGCTTCTAAAGTATTATTTTGATTTGTATCTGTATTAATACTTTTTTAATATTCGTTTGAAGACTACGTTTTTATTATATGTACATATGTGTTTCGAGTCATTCATATCGCTCCAGTATTTATTTTTATAATTACATTAACAATAGCGCAAGTATAATCATTCTTAATGTAGGTATGTGAGCAATATATCAATATATTTTTTATTCGTTCCGTCTTTTAGCTCGGAGTATATATTATTTAAGTATCGCTTGTCATCGATGCACCTAACTGTCATCATTCATGTGTTAATTATAATTTAAAACAATTAAAGGTAATTAAAATGCAAACTGCCTTTAACGATGATCTCGTATCAATTGTGGACATTCTCCTAATAGTTGTTTGTTCTGCGTGGAGGTCGCTACGTTAGGCCACCCGGCGCGCCTCGCTGTACCGGGAACCCTCGCATGTTTTGCGAGTCTCCGTGCCCGGGCCTGTCTCCGACCACCCCCGGCCCATGTTTTGTGTTGGCCCACCACGGACCACCTCGTCTCACCACACGCCGTCCACAACATTCTAATGCCATCATTAGCTTCTGTTGCTGAAATTTCGTTCTTCTTAGAACTTTCTTTTATTTTAAATGAATACATCCTCGTACTACGTTCTGAATCCTAATATAATTACAAAAAAATACGCAGTTCAGAACTGTAATGAAATAACTATCGAAAATAATATGGACATTAAAACATATTTCAGATTTTTTATTATGTGTACCTTAAATAATTTGTTATTAGGCGTGGTAAATTAATTTATTATTTTTCTGAAATAACGAATGTAAGGTGTGATCATTATAAAATATATATGTGTGAACATTAGCAACAACTGAAAGTCTCTCATTATCAATAATTATCTATTAAAATACCTTCAACAAACATGATACATAAGTATTTAATAACCGTATGTTTTCTAAGTAGCGCTCCTCTCCTCGACTCCATTCATTACTCAATACTATGATTATATTTATCTGACTAGTTTTTGTCCCGCGACTCTGAACGTTCCATTGGCTGACAGATTATTATCTAAGAAACTTTGAATTATTAATACAATGATTAAAATACTGGCGGAGAGTAAAAACTGTTCATACACGCGTGTTATGTGGGACTGAGAGGCGATACAAAAAGCCTAAGTGTCTATTCATATTCACTGACTAATTATATAGCAATTAATTTATACTGAGATATAATATTAATTCTAAGCGGATGTCCATTTAAGACGGGAAGGAGCTCCACACAATAGCCCGTCATTTACCGATCGACTAATAATAACAATCAGTTGGATCGGCGCGTCCTAGTCTCCGGTAGAGGTACACAACTACACTACACACTACACTACACTACACAGTATACACTACACTACTCGGAGATAGTAGGAGGTAGGCGAGAGAGCAATCTCGGCCCATCATTATCTTTCACCAAACGTCTTTAGTTGGAAGGTCCGGGAAAGGCTCAGGGACGGTGTGATCTACTGTTATAAACCTTAATTATACACACACAGGCGGACGGACACTTAGTGAACGGAGCTCGCCGTTACCATCAGATACTATCCCTTTGGTACCTTCAATATAATTAACAATATATAAAGAAAGTATATCTTATTACTTCATTGGAAACTTAATACGTTACTTGAAACAAATTTTGTGAATTGAACACTTCAACGACAACCGAGGATTAACTATCCATTGATTTAAAACAAGCAGAGGTGTTGCTTGAAAATTAAATTAATATAAATGTATTTCTATCATATTATATTCGTTTATATCTGAACGAATCTTTCCTTTGTTGAACATATGTATATTTGTATTATAAGTTGGTACCTGTATCTATATATGTATGTATGTGTATCATAATGCTCTCGATACTGTGAGCGTCCGTGGAAGCGTCCTCTTGTAATGTTCGTGTTGTGAGACGTGCTCCAGCACGCGGCGGTGCTTTATTGTTATTAAACTAAATCCAATCAGTTGCGCTCGCGCATGAGATAGGGAGGACCATCGACGAGCCGGTATCGATGATACTTATAACTTTCAGTTCATATACATTTTAAAGTTTAAAAGAATCTCAAGCGCTCCGTTTGGGGCAAATGTTACAAAAACCTGTTAGGTTTGTTTAATATTTCTTAAATTTATTATGACTATCGTCATTTTATTTTTATTTTAAGTAAATATAAAATGGTCTGTTCTTGTATCAACGTCACATAAGTCACTCCTTAGCTCGCCTGTCGTCCTAGTCCGCCATCTCTCCAGCTTTACATGTTCATGGATTTATATGATATCTGTTTGTTTATGCGGCTCCTGTGAAAGATTGTCTTTCTTAAAGGAATTGTTAATTACTAGTCTTCGATTCATGCGTCTTTAAAAAACAATCCAGCGAACGTATTAAAATAGTTATTTATCATCCTTCTGTAAGTTCGCTTTTTAGGAATAATCACTATATTACTCAATAGATAAAGATGACGAAGACTAAATGAGGAGCACGGCTAAGCAAACATAGAATTTGAATAAAATATTAGAGAAACTTAAAACGCATTTGCCGTTAAAGATTCTTCAACAAAGTCCAGTAACTAAATATTGAAGGACGTTATTTTGCGAATCATCTCATCTCATTATATTATTCTGAATAGTTATTATGAGAGCACAATTTGGGGGACAGTGAGGCGTGTTATTACGCGGCGTGGCGGGCTCGTGGGCTCGTACGCAAATCACCGCCCGGATAAAAATAATTGCACCCGCGACTCCGCTGCCTCTATTATCTCAAACTATACACAATTACTGATCTTTACCTTTATCTTTACATCTACTCTATTAGAGTTCTGGCTGCACGATCGTTATTAAAGACGACAGAGAGCGGCCGTTCGTGAGGGAACGACGCTCCGAGCCAAGGATAAACTTCGATGTATATCGACACAGGAGAAGAGTCCGTCTCGCGGTGAGGGGACGCGGCCATCGGGTTCATTACAATTAATCAATGCTTTCACATCGAGCGCAGTCTTATGAGGCCGATACAGAATATGCTTTAATATTAGTCGTGATTTACTAATACAGGGTTGCGTACACAAATTATGGAGTGAGGAGACAATATCGGGTGTGCCCCCGCTTTAACTACCATACAAATATATTCTTAAGACAACGCGTGCAAAATCTGAACGGGGTTTCGTTACTTCGTTCTAATTAATTTTTTATAAATATTGTTGCTGTATGAGATAATAAGTAAGCCATAAAATATGCTTGTATTGTTTTCAAATCCATGTACTTACGGCGCGCGTTAAATGACATCTTGTGTGTTTGATTTAAACAAAATTCATTCTTACAATTATCTCGATCGGAGACGCTCGATTTGAATTAACTGCTACCAAGATATGTTTTAACATCTGACGCTTTTGGGCACTGAAAACATGTGCACTCACATGTTATGTTAATAAAATAAACTGTAAGTTTTATATTTTGCAACATTTTACACTAATTTTCTATTTTATCGAAACATATTAACAATATCTAATGCAGATTTAGGACTATAATAAGGTATGAAGAACACGACTAATGTTACTTTTCAAATATTACTATACTTAATGACATGTAGTCTGCGTGTTCTAGGTTTATAATAAGCCTCATATTCTTAGAAAATATAGAATGATCGTAGATGCGATCTATTTTATAAACAGTGCTACTGAGATGTGCAGTCAAGTTGTTGTCTGTGTGTATGTTTGTGTGAAGGTGAATGTTGTCGGATCTGATTATCTACGATTCTCCCATCATTTGATAGTTATCGGTGGAGATACTTATATCTACATAAACTATTAATTGTCAGTTAAGAAGGAGTATGTATAATAAACTCATGTTGCTCAGTCAATCGGGACTCGTCGTGTAACAACACTTTATGTATGTAAAGTGACACGATATCTTCATCTTTTTTTTATGTCATATTTTTTTAACCAATAACAAGTATTCATCTCAAGTCGCAGTTAGAAGACAAACACACTGCTCACATTTATATATAAAACTTATATTGACACATTTTACCTTAACAAAATATTATAATATTTTATATAAAATTAAGATATGTTTGTTAACATCTTCAATTTCTTTCATAGTAATTCCATTTGAGCACCAGAATCCGTTTAATTATTTTAAGCATGTTAACCACGTTTCTTCTACATATCTTATTTGACAGATGAATAAATTGCATAGTTGTTTTTAAACTTTTATTTAATTGAATACATTACAAGCAGACTAAAATATCAAATATAAACTGTCTAGTTTAACTTCATTTTTTCCACAAAGTATTTTTTTTTAATATACATATATATTTCATATCTTTACTCGAGAACAAGTCCACATCATATGTTTCTTTCTTTAGTATCTTTTCTCTTTCCAATTCATACCACCCTCTTAAACCCCCCCCCCCCCACCCTGATACTAGACGCTCGACAAAATTTATTTAGATTATTCAATGAGTGGAGAAATTAATGTTAAGTGTACAATCAATAATACATTTGACTGATAACACACTCGTTATCAGTGAGGTGAGTCTCTGTGTAGTATTCATTGTGTTCTATAGTGAGATGTTTATGATGATGCATATTTTTTATATCGCTAATCGATGTATGTATTATGTTTCAGTTTTATTTCTTCAAATGATTCAATGTCGTTTTCAAACTTTCTTGCTTGTCGTTATTCTTCTATTCTTTAAAACATATTGATTCAAGAAATACACATCTTAAAAGTTTTACACTTTAATCGATTTAAGCACATCTCATGTGCAGATCGAGTCCCGGTCGTGTGAAGTCGAATTTATAATTCGTTAGTTGATAAAGTTTTATTAAACGTGAGTTCCGATATTATTTTTTGCGAGTGTCGCAACCTGTCCGCGTGTCTGTGTTGTAATGTGTCCTCCCGTTTAACATATTGTTCGTGTGTTCCCACCACTCTGCACCGATTCATCTTGAACCATAATATATTTTGATTGAACAATTAAATTTCTCAAAAGTCATCTCAAAAAATATACTAATATTTTTTTATTACAAATGTAATAAAATCCTTAAGTTATAGTATACGTGAGATCGCTGACGGAAAATGAGAATGTACCGTTTAGTTGGAACGGAAAATTTTAAAGAATACAATTTTACCTTCTATGAATATTAATGAGATCAATTAAACAACATGACATCGGAGTGGGAAGAAGTTTAAATATTATAAATATGACGCACGAGAGAGGTGGTGGGTGGTGAGCGGGTGGTGAGCGGGTGGTACCGCTACCGTCACACCGAGCGTCACCACCAGCGCCGGCGACCAGTTTCCTTTTAAAGAGTCGCAGCACAATTCCCACAGCAGATATACCGTTCTTTGTTCATTGAAACATTTTATTACAAATATAATTATCGTTGAATTAGTAATACAAGTGTTCTCAGAAACATATGCAACGTTAAATTATGTACGGAACCTTATCTTATTACTATGAAGAAGGCTAGCGAGGTTTAGTATTAAATGTGTGATGATGATATATCAGAATGACTGGACATATTCAATGTATTTCTAATATATAATTAATTAGCTTTTTTAAACTTATATTTCCCTGTGACCTCCTGAACTGACACACACAACATATATGTATCCCTCAGAGCTACTTAACTAACATCACAAGCGAGTCTCTTAGTTGCCAGCTGGTGGCTCGCAGCGGTCCGCGTCTGAATGTTCTATTTATTTTCAGAAGAAACAATTATAATTATAAGAGCATAACATAAACTCCAATATATTATTACGAAGCTCCCCGCACACAGAACACATCTCGATATTCTGCTTTCTGCGGTCATTTTGTTCAATTTACAATAAACGGCGTGGGGCCAACTCGAACTCAATAAATAAATTTAACTAGATTATCAGCGGCCGGTCGGTGTGCGCCCGCGCAGCCGCCGGCTACACTTCTGGATGTATTATCTTTCATGATATTTAGTTCCGCAAATATACATCACACTATATTTAGGTATTGTTAACTTTTATTAATAAATATAACTAAACAATATCCTTGGGACGCGTGACGAGCCCGTATCCTAACTTATAATTAACTATAAATTCACCAAATTCTAGTCACAGTAGCAGTCGCCACAACATTAGTCGATGTGAGATATGTTTTTGTTCATAGGAGAGTGTCCGCTGACATGTCCCGCTGTACTCCTCTGTGTTGTATGTATGATAGTATGACATGTAATATAATATAGCCTTCTGTTCAGTCATCTACATACATCACCGCTCCCCGACTCTCCCTCCCCCTCCCTCCTCCCCTCCCAGCCTCATTCTCTCTATATTCAAACTGCATGCCTCCTTTATAGCGCTCGCTCGCGCCGCACGCAATTACAATACTTCAGCGCCGCGTGAGAAGATGCGCTGCTTCCCGTCTCTACCATCTTACAAGGACCGCTCGTGCGAGCCGATGTCGACCTTACCTCCTTGTGATAAGGAAATGATTACATCACGGCGACGTTTGCACGTTACAGTGCTAAATTTTGTAACGTTCACAAATATTATTTGCGGAACCTCCGCGATCTAACGAAACGAATGTTTATGAGAGAGAAATTAATTCAATGCGTTGAAATTAATTTATATTATATAAGATCGAAATCGTACTAAGAATATTATACGGGAATGTTTAGCGAGAAGTTAGTTAGAAACGCGGACGAGGAAAAAATAATGTTTGTTAATGTATTTAGTAATTAAGAATTTACGTTTATATAGTAAGAGTGGCTAGAAGATCAGTTTCCATAAATATCGTACTGTACATAAGATCATGTTCAAAAAGCTTTTTCTAATGCCGGTGATATTTAAGTCAGTTTAGTAATGTAATGAACGAAAATAACAAAAAACTTCCTTCATCACGAGGGATGCTCCTCCTCCTCCTTCAACCAAGACTCGAACTCGTATCTCATGGTTCAATAACAGCGTTTAGCGATCCCTCACACACACATTTATTATACAAATTAAAGATCCTTTTATTAACATTACTCTGGTAACCGTGGAAGTATTTTTATGTCACTTATGGAAGGCGACCAGCTCTCAAATATTAAATGATTGTTTATCGGACGATTGTCTTTTGACGGACTTCACCGAAACTAAACTGTGTTCTTGTTCTGTGAAGCTGCTTTCATCATGAGACGTGATAATTTATTGTATTCATTATATTAAGAGGCTAACTGAGGTCGCTAAACGATGTCAACTTATTATAACCGAGTGACGATTATGACATTATAATATACTAAAAACTTGATTACAAAATACATGGTCGTTATATAGGAGTACGTGTCAGTCACACCTCCGGCTCGGAGCGAAGGGTGCATAATTAAGTTAATATATTCATTCGATTCTAAACGTGCTAATTACAGTAATTAGCAAAGCAAACAGGACGATGACAATCAGTATGAGTAGTGTCCGTCGGTCAGTGGCAGTCAGTCCCAGGTCCGGGAGCCGGGAGCCGGAGATCGCGGCATTTCCTCCATTATCATGCGTTGACTTTTTGCTGGCGACAATTACGCGGCATCAGTATGCACGCGGCAGACGCGCGCGCAATCCGTCCTCCTCCCCCTTCCTCCCCCGTTCTCCCCCGTCCTCCTCCGACCTCCTCCCACACTTTGAGTCGGTGCAGTTTTTGTCTCCGGACTGCGGCGGTTCGTGGGAGCGTCTTCGTTGCCCGTTGCAAACTTAGATACTCTTTGAAGATGCTCGAATATTTTCCTCTCATTAGATGCAATATATTAAAGTTGCAGGAAGTGTGGACGTGATATTCCTAGCGTGATATGGGCACGATCGACAGAACTGTATTAAATGAATTCTTTATGTTAATGATTTTGTTGTTTTTACTTTATGTTCGTTATGAATGACAAATATGGTACACCGCCTGTACCAGCCCGGGCCTGTTATACTTCTCGCCGCTCAAGCCAGATCAGTAAATTAAAGTTTCTATTTAAATGAATCTTTAAAATGTTAATTCTGTTGTCATACAAGCATCATTACATAAGTTCCCACCCTGTCGATCGTTTTCGTTTCCTTATGCGGTCGTTATGACAATCTTTTTCTGTGTAACAACATTTTTGATGTATTGTGTCTCGTACTCACGTTGGGGAATGTTCGTCACCGCATTCCTCATAACTTTCCGTTCTCTCATAAATGTTTTATTTATTCAAAACTGAAAACCTTCCGTCCATCTCCGTGGTTCGTTTCATGTACCCGCGGTATCTCGGTCCACGTGTTTGCATCTCTCCGTCTTATAAAAACTCGTGTCCGTCGTCTGTTAGGTACAGTTGTGACTCCTCGGCCGGTTCTCTCTAACTACATTTCATTCATGCATCTTAACATTTCAAAATTAAAATTCGTTTGAGTTACTACTCTTGATTATATAACGCGTTTTGTTCGATCCTCTGAATATCCTATTACCACTCATTTTTGTTAAGTTTAATATTTGGCAAGGTTTGCGTGAAAAAGTTGATAATATGAAATATTTCTTTCTTATTATCAACTTTTTTAAAGTTTGTTTTTTTATTGGTGTTCATTATCATGTTATAATATTTTTTCATTACAACATTTTAGTCTAAGGCGAGCTCCACGTTCCTGTCAAATGTATATTAATATATTGTAGTATGTTGAAGTGCAAACGACATGTAAATGATGAGTAGATGTTTTTTGTAGGACGAACGGTTGACAGGAATGCAGATGTCTGTGAGTCGGTGTCGGGCGTCAAAGGCCGGTCTGCTGACTGGTCTGCTAGTCGGTCATTTAAATATCGCGAGCCTCATATTTCAAATAACTCTTTTCAAACGAACGCGAAACAAAACATTGTTTACATTTTCACTTTTTCTCGTTTCCGTTTAAAAATTATCCGCTTTTATTTGAATATTTTTAAATTAATCGATATAAAATAGTTTAAGTTTTTGATATTTTTGTTTCATTAAACAATTAAAACAAAAGATACAATAGGTAGAATCTGTTTTTTACATTTAAATTTCACGCAATTACATTTGTTTGTGAGACCGAGTTCCGTGGGATGTCTGTGTAAACGTTGACCTCCAAATCCGGACCTGCGCCGTCTTGATGATTGGTTCATTGGAACATAAGTTTGCATGTGAGAACAAAAACTCCATATTAATATTTGCCATTGTGTCTGTAACATTCGTGTTAGAGTCCCTGCACCGTTTCTTGCGCCGGTGGAGGCAGGTCGCGGCTACATTTGGAGTCCAGACATGTGTCTTCACTCTCCCGACACTTCCCCAGCGATTATTAAACAAAATAAGAATTCACTTGATTGTTTCTTTGACACTTTTCTTTCAAGAGTCGAGTTTTGGCTGTGTCTGATCCTTCAAATATGTCTTTGTAATCAGTTTTTTACTACAATTGATGATTTTTCAATTAACGCTCTCAAGAATTTGTTCTATGTGGACATATTACAGGAGAGCGCCCTTAAAATATTTTTAAAAACTGCGCCGTGAACGTTATGAGGTTGTCTTTGATATTTATTTGTCTACCAACACTTTTATGTTTCTTTAATATATATTTTATAGATTTTTCTTTTAATATTCGTTTAAGAGAACTCTTGCCATCCTTCAGAATCCTGGTTACTGTCGGGCATTTAGATATATAAGATATACATATAAGTACGCCACAAAATCTTTTTTTGCTCCTATAAAATCTTTTCAATTGAAAAACTTCTCAGGGATGGTAATTATGTATAATTACTCTAACTAAAACTGATACAGTTCATACAGCTGGGGTACAACACAGCAGCTAACGATCTGCAGGAGAAGCTTTAGATGCTTTATCTTGACTTGATACATCCAGGAAATATAAACATCATAAAAAACTTTAACGAAAAAACCAATTTGGAGCTGTAATAGTCTCAAACAATTCTTACAATTCTTATTTGTATGATAAAATACTTCAAATATAAGAGTACGGTACAATGAATAAATTTTTTTATAGTGTGTGTTTGTATGTTTGCGTGTGTGTGTGTTTGTGTGCGTGTGTAACCTGAGAGCGTTTTACCCTAAACACTTTCCACCATCAATCATCTGTGACCCTCAAAGATCCTCCGACCTCACTCCTAATTTAAGATAGATGGACTCATAATATGGGATAATAAACAAATTGATGTTTGTTTTACAAATTGTATTTATACTGTTCTAAAATTATAATACTTTGTGTTATGTATGCAGCAACGTTGGTTGTGTTTGGTTGACACGAGACATTCTATTAGGATGTGTCGCCGGAGAAAAAACTGTTTTCAATTAATACGAGTAAGTTATATGCCGGCGGATAGACAGAAAAGTCAAAAAAAGGAAACGATAACTTAAACTAAACATTACTATTACAAAAATAAGATACTAATTACTTTAAATTATAAAACCCGACCGTGTAAGAGCGGTCCATGAGCGATGTTTCTGATGTACATATTGAGATGATGTAAGCCTGATTGAGTTTTTTTCTGTAATTATAAACAAATTTACCAAGCATTTGATATTATAAAGATATTAATGAGATATTGTCTTCAATCTTGTAATTATAACACAATAATAACGACCGACTCCACTCTAAGCTATTATCAACACTTTTGTGATTACCAACTCACTCAGACCACTATTTGTACTAAATTGTTAGATGTATGTATTCGTTGAAAATCGTTAAAGTTTTAAGACACGAGAGGATGTTCTCTTAACGTGGCCCTTATGAATAGGACTGATAAATTTCTTAGTGAGCGTCTTATACATGAAACACCTGTGTTTTTAAGGATGCTGACAGCCACCACATACTTATATATTTTAATAAAACCCGAAACGGAACAACGAATCGTCGCGGCTCGGACTCGATGGTTGTGGAGTAATTAACGCGGGTGTCATCGTTGGCGGCGTTACTTACTTGACGACACTCGTTCGGCCATCAATGACATTTTTATCTGTCCATTGAGTGTCGAGTTACGAAGAACTGATTGAATCGTAGCACATAAGAACACAGCCCTCAACAAAAACTATGAGCTACTAGTTACTTAGTTACGACACTTAATACTCCTACATGTCCCAGAGTTACTTCCTCATTCTCCCATTAAATTGTTATAGTCGGAGGTTTTATAAACATTTTCAATTATTCAATGGTTTTGTTTTTTTTTTGGTTTGTTTTCTCTTATATATACCACTATTATTTACTGGAACTTTGTTTAACTATTCTTTAAAATAAAGAAATAAATTACTTAGGTTATATATACTTCAAATTTTCTTAAACAAAACGGAACATCGATAAAACTGAGAGTAAAAAACCCTCTTAAGATAATTCATTTAACATTTTTTTTTAATAATTTTAAACATTTTAATAATTAATACATGTCATTATACCAATATAACCTACAGGTGCATTTTGCAAGCAAACTACGAAAACTCCCGATTAAGATCTGTTAATAAAAATAAAATTTGCAATTCAATTATCAATGAATTGCAGCGTTTCACAAGGAGACAGCAAAAAACTGTAATTTATGTAATCAGTGGACTAAAATTAATTTTCTCGTTCGTATAATGAACGAGTGTTGCAAGCCAGCTCTTATTCAATAGATATTAGAGCAGCGCCAATAAAATCAAACACTTAATAGCGACTGTCGTACGTCGAATGCCACTTTTTAGTGCTAGAGCGCTCTCATTCCACTCTTAACTGTTACCCGCTTCATTACATTTGCCGAATGCATATTTTTTCTGTCTGTCAATCATAGCTGGTCCAAGACGTCACCGAGGGCCGGCTCCGCGTACTAAGATCACTCACTCGCCTCACGTACACCCCCTATGGTTGAGGAATGGCAGTGATTTAAGTGTAACCGGACAAGTAGTGAACCGTCGCCCTGAGCCCGCGACAGGCGCCGCCTTCGACGATGGGAACCGCTCGGTACATCCTCCGCACATGCTGTATATCATACGTGTGTCCTTTTAGAGAATATTCTCATGTCACAGATTACGTTTCAAATGGTTCTTATCAACAATCGTTACCTGTCTATATTTACGACACCGCGCCGGTAAGGGTATGACATGCCGCGCGGACCGTTGGCTGTAATTAATAAAATATTATTATAATGAACTGCTGGCTGCGATGAAGTGAGATCCTTTCACTCCACCAGAACACACGCGACACATTCTTAACCCGTGGCTTTTATAGAGTAATGATTTATAACACGTATCGATTATCGAGATGACGAAAGCGCAAAAAATCTAAGTAATGATTATTCTAATTTTATGGAAATAATATTCAACTCTCGATACGGCCACACTATCGGCATTATTTATTTACATAATTATGTTTGCAGGATACGAGTGACCTTCTGACCGAGATGTTAAATCGTTGGCCGAAGTACATTGCGGAAAATGTGACACAAAAACAAAAGTAAGCTTCGAGAATGTGGCAATGTATGTCTCGCGAGTCGTATATATCGTGTGAGCGCTCCGGCGATCCAGCGAGTCAGAAGTTGCAGGCGCAGGCTCAGGTTCCCACGGCACAGTTGTCCTTATTCGGGCTCCGCGTCGTAATTAATCAGCGGTCAATCGCTGTAAACGAGCAGAGATTATGCGACGACCGATTGATAAATATTCTAAATGGCCCTTCATATGCCATATAGAGACGTCACACAATGTAAAACTGGAATTTGCGTACGTAACATTCACATCTACGCTGGGAATGTAGCCGGTGATCCCACGGCCTGGCCCGGTCTGAACCAGGTCTTAGAGCACCAGCTGTGAGCCTGTCGATACAGACGGACATGTAGCCGTTTGTTTACATTGATATTTCGCGCTTGACTTGACTCATGTCTCGACGGTTCAATACTCACGGGTGACAACAACGTTTTAAAGATATGTTTTAATGAAAAGTTCAACAAACACAGAATAATAATTAATTAGTCATGTTCTTGGAGGAAAAAATGATAAGTTCAGTGAATTCGGTTAGTCACATATTGTAACAAAGTAACACCTCGGGTGATAAAGGTTCCTCGGTCTACGAGGAGCTCTCGACGGAATATCTTATGACTAGTTGATAGAAGAACCTAGCGTGGTATAAAATATTGTATGAAATGCTGGGAAAACTCTGTAAAAACCTCTGAAACAATCTCATTAGACATTATAAAGTTTCATTAGTTTATGAATACTCAAGTCACAGTATTATTTGTTAAAAGAAAAGGTTTCGCTTCACACGTCCTCACACCGAGGAGTGAACACTCAGTGGCTCGACTCATTAGAACACGTCACGTGCGACTGATACTAACATATACCTTTATAATAATAAGAGTTTGTTAGTGATGACAAAAAATACTCTATATGGCCTCTTATAAGGAATTCATGGAGTTTTGAAGCCATTGTACTGTGTTTAAATGACTTGAAACACGAAGAGACCCTCGGAGCGGTAACCGGGGTATTTATTACAGGCGTTTCATGTTGGAGTATGAAATGATTGTAAGGGTCTTGTTCAAATATATTTGTAGAAGATGCTTTTGTATTTTAAGAGACGAAAGTTAAGTTACAGTGAGATCTTAAGGACTGGTGGTAGCCCTCGAGATGTACCCTCAGGTGGCCAAGTACATAGTATGGACGGATATATATTTTTTGTCCTCAAAAAATAGTGACTGAATTTACCTACAATCTAGAGGTTTATACAGAAGTCATAACGTCATTTATTTAACTATTTTCATGATTTTTAGAGACAATATATATTATTAAATAATTGGAGTCTTTATGTAATGTGATATAAATAGTAAGTCAACAAGTCCACGATAGAACTAGATGTTTTTAAATTATATTTGATATAAAAAATATATTAAGAATTAACAACGTGTCAAAGGATTATATTGTAATGTGACACACACACACACACACACATACATATAAAGACACACATAATCAGCTGAGATTACACAAAGACCAATAAAAAGGAAAATTTTTAAATAATGACAGCGCTGCCGTAATAAAACTCAAATAGTCAAATAAAACTTTTGGGTGGCACAAAGCCTTCCGGAAACTTTTCTGGAGGTGGGCTATTTGTTAAAATTGCATCGTAGAGGGTAGCTGGTAGTGGGCGGAGGCCGGGCGGCGGGCGGAGAGGCTCCGGGAGTGAGGAGAGCCTCCGCGGCACCTGACGCAATATCCTATTTATGAATAATGTTTTATTCTAAGAGCGTGCGACCCCCACACACCCCACTCCAGAAGACACGCCACAGCCCGCACCGCGGCCGTACAACTACCTATAGTTATAACTTATTCTAACGGAATCTGAAAAAAATTGTAATGATCGAACGAGGTTAGCTTCATTAAATATTGAATCGGTGTTGTTAACTGAATCTTCACAGAATACTGAATGTGAGCGGCTCACTTTCTTAATATAGTTTAAGACTTCCCTTCGCAAATCGAAACATGTTACAATTTAAATATCTTCTGTAATTAATAACAACCAGCTCTCTCTCGTAGTGTCAGCTCCTGGTCTAGACTAGACTCTAGAACACCATAACGAGAAAAATATGAAATGTGTCTTCCGGATCGAGTGTTATAATTAATAATATAGGTCTTACAACTTTCTCCTAACTCTTTATGTAATCGGCATTCCGTTGTGGGACGAGGTTCACCGGCGTCACCTACCACCTCCTACCACCACCTTCACGTGTTCTCTGTTAATAGTGTCCATTAGTTATTTGTTATCATAATTTCTATAAAACGTGGAACGCTCTCTGTTTATAGTTATTTTAAATAATATTATTCCTCATATTCAGATGCAAGTAGTGCTCCCTGTCAGTGTGTGTGTGTGTGTGTGTGTGTGTTTGACTGTCTGTGTGTGGAGGTCTTGTACGTGTATAAACATTATATATATTGTAACGTTATATATATTGTAACCTCATTAATTGCCATCGGTGATAATATCTGTTGATTTGTAGATATATAATAAAAGTAATAATCTCTTGGAAGTTTTCAATTAGCGGGAAAGAATGTTCCTTTGTTACAGTGTGTGCGGGAGTCTGTAGGTGGGTGTCGCGGGACATAGTTTAATTAATGGAATAACTCTAGCCATAGTGTTAGGACCGCCCCCCCCACACACCCCCTCCCTGGTCCACCTCCCCTGCACCCCCTCGGCCCCGGCGCTGCACCGGTCCACACTACATATACTATCATCACATATGCATAACGCTTTGTTTCAACATAACGTCTCCAACCAACAATGAGAGCGATCAATGTATTACGTAATGACTCCATGAACACACCGCCGCCGGCTCCCCGTTACCTTCCAAACTTTTATTAATAATTTAATAGTTCTATGAGCTTTTTAAAATGACGTTTTCGTGTTTATTTCATCAATATGACAGACATACATACACTTTGTGTAACCTTTCTGGTTGTCTGAGTCTGGAACATCTTTGAAACAGTGGAGTGCTTCAAGATACTAACCTACTGGCTGTTAGCTCACAATCGTTATATGATACTACTTTAAGATATCTTTTGAAAATAATTTGAATAATAAAAGTGTTTTTAATAGTCATAGTGTACTCTGTGTTCCATATAACGCTGACTCGGTGTTTACTTCACAATTCGCATACTTTATAACAACGCAGCGAGCTCCTCACGATCCGTTTGCGCTCTGAACATTACATTATGATTTAGTAGAGCACAGTTGCAGCGCTGCAGACCCCCCGGAACGGTCACCGGGGGATGGTCGGGAGGGGGGGTATGTGGAAGGGGGCAGGGGAAGGGGTGAGCAACTCCTGAGAAGTCAGCGATGGTAGTAATAAAGACGGCCATATTTCACACTTAGCGCGTAATGAGCGCGCGCCCAAATAATTGGATCACGTACATAACTCATTATTACCTCACTCCTCAGTTTGGCGAGCGAATGTATCATTACTTGACCTTCTACCTCCCCCCCCTCGACCCTCCACCCGGGGGTCGCCACAACACCTCACCAGAGATCACGGAGAGGGCGATGATAATAATTAGAAGGTTCTTAATATACATACAACATAACCATTTGAGGAATTTGAATATAGACTATGTATCTTTGAACATTTTATTCAGATGCTCTCAACATGCATCTGGCGGCTGTAGAGGTTATAAAAGGTTGCATCTCTGATTGTAGACATGGTCTTATAGATGTTGATGGCAAACATTTCACTGTCGATAATATTCGTATAAATTTTATGATATAATTTAATGAAATAATAATTTATTAACTGAGCGGAAGTTGTCAAAAACTATTCAAACCACATAATAGTCTAAGAGAGAGCATTACTGCTACAGTTCACGGACACTGAAGTGAAGTAGTAAAGCCGTATTTACTCTGTATAGTGTTTAATTAAAATCATAGTTAGATTATAAAAATTTGACAGGTATGTAGTGATCACGCCAGCGCGAGCCGTGCGCGGCCAAGGCCCGGGCCCGGACCTCAGGCCCGGTGTTATTCAACTTTAACATTTACCAGGCGGCCGTTAGCATATTCATGTATCTATAATTTCACCCTTTCTTTCCTATGAATATGGAGATGGAAGAAAGTTCTCGTGGATGAAAAAACTGGTAGCTACTGTAATTGGAAGCGCGGCTGTTTTTGTTGGTACGCTCGTCATCCGCTGCTAGTTACACGTTAATTTACAACTTCGTATTGATAAAATAGCTTTTACTTTGCGTTAAATCGAAATACTTTACATTCTATCATGAGCACAGGCGAGCTGGCCGCTACCACCACACTGTTTTATTAGTTTTCATTTTATTAAAAGTCGATGACGCCTCACACTGATGATGAAACACACCTCAATACAGTAGACTCTGTTGACCCCTTGACGACCTTTAACACACGTAAAGTGTAATTATGATTCAATTAAAATTATCGAATTGAATTGTATGACACCAAGTGTGTTAGTATTATTTACGTGTCTCTTCAAAAACAAGTATTTTCTTTGACATGATAATAATGAACTGTTTTGTTTATTTTCTGTATTAACTTATAATATGTTAACACGTTAAATGTTTACTAAACGGTTGTTTCACCAACAGTCGCGTAGATGTAAGTTATAACAGGAGTGACCTTTAGGGTTCAGTTTTTGTTTGCTGAAGGAGTTTAAAAGAAATGCATTAACAGCGGGGTCCGTTATTGGTATATTTAATAGTTTCTGGGATCCTGTCCCGGGACTCTCACTGGTCGTTCTTGTCACGGTCTATTGCAAACAACGGTGAAAGTAGAGAACACAAAAACAAACAAACACGCGCACTCGGTGCCGGGTCAGCGGACACCCCAGCTAGTGACCGAATTGTCGTGGCGATTATAAAAAAAATATATTAATTAAAGTTATAATATTGAATAACAACGGAACCAAAACGAACCGAGTTCGTGTCTCCTTCATGTGGAGATCAAAACATATATTATAAAGTCGTGTATCAACGTTTAAGGGTGGTTTAACCAGTGCGTACAGTTACTAATATATAATTTCTTATAAAACATTTCCTTCCTCGGAGGTGTCTGTTCATACTGCGTGTAAGAACTACTCAGCTCTCTTGTGCTAGTGTTTGCTGTGAACGAGAAAATATATTTTTTGTTACAGAAGATGCGTACTTACACTGGCGAGTTGTTAGCTAGTTCAAGTTTTTTTCGCGTGTTATGATTTAATAGGTTCAGTCGCATTTTGCAAAAGTTTAATCAATTAATTATCGAGCAGAGGTTAACACAAGCTTCAGAAAATATTATCGTTTATTTTTGAAACCTTACGAGTAGAAGTACGGTCAGTACTTAGTACGAGTACACGCTTAACAATACGTTAAACATTCAAATAAATTAGAGACCGGCACGCTGAAGCTGAACATATTTTGCTACAATATTTTAGACTCTATCACCTGCACATACAATCTATATTAATATTGCACACAGGTATAAAAGTTTATTCGGGTTTTGGTCCCGGCGATCTTTATCAGTGTTATCGACACACTTCATTCATTAGCCTTTAACTAAACGGCGTTAAAATGTTGAATTAATTTTAATGTGGGCTCGGTTATCATCGGTTATCATCGGTTATCATCGGTGTCATTTGTGTCATATTTGTAACAGTTTATGGATGGGGTCGCTTTAAATTTAAATTAAACAGCGTGACGGCTTTATTTGTTAAAGTTGAAGGAAAGTACTCGTATTATAAAACGGTATATGAAGTGGTCTTGTTGTCTGCGTGTCTTCGGAGACATGTTAGATTTATTGACAGCGATGTTAGTATCATCTGTAATATAATGGGGTAGTATGTTGTGTGCGCGTGCGCAGGCTGTCAGTGAGCCAGTCCTATCTCGGGAGCATCTCATGTTGCAGTACGCCGCCATCTTTATTATATAATTGTGATATTCATATTTCACTGTTCTAATTAATCTCATCTGATACAGATCGCCACATTAACGAGTCAGGATCCATCGTTCAGGTTTATAACCTCGACCCGCACCAGTCCTCACTGATCACTCTCCATATATATATATTATGATTGTTGTATTGTATGTGATAAGCTTGGCTTGTGATAATACGACGGTTACGTCCTGTAAGGAACGATTAATAATATTATGAACGAGAGTTTGTTTTAAGATTAATGAAATTATTGTTTCAAAGATTTAACAGCTTATTAATATTAATAAAAAAAGTATAAAAAGCAACAGCAAGTATTTGTTGCATTTAAGAAAAAAAATATAACTCGAACATTCAGGTGTGTTTAAATTTGCACTTCCTTAAAAAAATCGCTGATTATATTAAAAAGTTTCTTTTTTTAAAACAGAGGGATTTTTAAATTATCTATTTCTTAAACTTAATATTCACTTGTTACCTATATAAACACGAGGTATGTACTTAATTTCATCTACCTATATTCTGTTGACTCAGTTTGTTTATCGTTATGGTAATTTTCTTAAATGTATTAAGGTACATCTTAAACAACTGTCCTCAACGTTAGCTACTCTCCACTATAAATAAAGTGATCACAAAATATTTTCATGACCCAAACTCAATGTTTTATCTCGTGAATTAAACACTTTATATGTATGTAAGCAAGTTCCGTGACGTAGAGCGAGGACATTCTTTTTGACATCTTTATAACCTAACGAGTACAAAAACCGAACTTTCTTGCATCCTTTCCCGAAGTTGGTAAAAGATGTTCTTATCCCAATTTATATCGAGGTACTTACGACGTCTCCGGATCCTGGGAAGATCCTTTTTCAATATGAAAGTCGTATTGAAATTTTTGTGTCAAAAATACAAAGAATTTAAAAGACATTTCTTTATAACGAGAGTGAATCGTTCAGAGTTCGGGAAATGTTTTATAACAGGTTTGTTTTTTGCGATTCCAGTCATAACAAAGGCTCATAACATCTCCGAGGCGAGGGCCGGCCGACCGGACTCTGATAATCTGTTAAATTTTCCTCGCAGGCTGTTTAGCGAGGGAGCGAACAAAAACAGCTGAAGACAGTGAATCTCGACTTCGTTACATAATCAGCCGCTAACTGCCGTCATCTGACTGACTGGCGTGCTTGTATGTTGATGATGTGCATGTAGATATACAATACATACATACATATTATAAACAATGACACACACACACGATCACTACTGCGTGTGTGTGTGTATTAGGAACGTCTTCACGATGTACTTTTGATATCATTAAAAGTAACCCAAGATAATACTTACTTATGCAAATTAGTTTTAAACTAGTTATTCAATTTCAATATAATAAAACTTCTTCTAAATTTATTTTTTTCTTATAAAATGAGGAAGGTAATTATTTGAGATTTGCATATTATAACAATGCTTACATTATTTTCCTAGTCAATATATTTTAATATCAAGAAAAGGAATAATTTAAAAGTTTTCTTATTATTCTGGCAGTGATTCAGTGGCATGTTACATGCCCGCGCGGTAAAAACTCTCCATTCATATGCACAGAGAGGAGTGCGCTCAGTTTTTGCGCGGCCGGACGTTCCCCGAGTTTTATTTGTAAATTGGTGAGTCGTGGGACGGTCGCGGCACGGACACGGGACGTGCGCGGGATGGACGCGGGATTATCGTAGGAGACACACGGCATGGACGCGACGTAGTCACGGGACGGGCACGACACGAGGTCGCAGCGACGCGCGGACTCGCCGGCTCATTCAAATGCTCAGCTAGTTTTTGCCGCTGGAGCAGCGCATAACTGAATACGAATGATACTCGGAAAGGTTCTAATGCGTCCAGATAGCCCATAATGAGCTCTGCATCGCTGCATCACATCTCACGTCCGTCCAGCTCCGCGGCGAGCCTTCCCTCGTTTATTGATACTATTAATTACCGCATTACTAGTGTAGCTTAATTAAAGGGAGTCGCTCGTTAGCTTTTATTCGCTGGTAATTTGTGGAGATGGCTTTGATATATTTTTTATGCGACTCGATCGAGTTTCGCGTGTGGGAAATAATAAAATTGTTTTAAGGCTTATAGAATTGATATCTTATCGAACTTAATCAGACATTTGAATACCTACTGAGAGTGTTTATTTTATTTATAAAGACGATGTCGATTTGTAGAAAAGTAACAAATAATTTAAAAAAGATTAATCAATAAATATCTAATGATTTAGTTGAGTTAATGTTACAGTTTTGTTTTATTAGTACGTTGTCATTATAGATTAGATATTCAACATAAAATAAATAAATAAATGGTATGCCACCATATAGGAGATATAGAAGATGACGGTCGTTATATGTCGATCATTATAGATATGTAAAAAGGGAATCCATTAGTTTGTCTGTTTGCTCACTGAAAACTAGAAAACTGAAAACTAGAAAACTGAATCTAGAATTTATATGAAAAACGTCGAGGACAAAGAACTAACAAAGAAATTACTAACGACATACAAATGATGGACAGGAATTAAAAAATGAAATGAAAACATAAAACAAATTAAATGAAACATGTCTGTCAGAAAACATTATAAATGTATGAAAATAAAATATTGAAACGAGTTGTCGGCGGGAGATGAGAGAAGTAGGAAGAGAGAGATATAAAAACATAGGTCTAGATGGAAGTCACTTGAAATTTGACAATTCTTTATAAACATTTATTTTCAAAATATTTCACTTTAATTGCAAAAAATAAACATTTACTGCTATTTATGAAAATATCAGATGGTTTGTGAAAAAATAAGAGTACTTGTGACTGTTTTAAATAATTATAATCACAAGGCACAGTTGTAAATATTTTTACTAAGTTATTTCATTGTAATACTTTTATAATATAATTATTTTAAAATTGCTAATAAAACTATGTCACAAAGGACAGCGAGTGATGTAATGATGTATTAGTTTTATTAACTCAACTGATATAACTGAAACATACAGAAAAATAAGTCATATGTCACAACGAGAACTTTATAATAAGTACATAACATGTGTATATAACGATTTACAGTATATATTAATATGGCCGGTGATTGATGGTGTTCATTAGAGAATGAAATGAAATATTGTGTCATTGGTGTTTGTTCTTAAACAATAATATACATACATACATACATACATACATATTCATGATTTTAATTTCCAACGATATAATACATTTCAAGTAATAAACAATGTACGGTGTTGTAGTATTATGTAATAGTGTGACATTAAAATTTTATCAATCACAGTTTTGATATTCAATGAAGTTAGTCGGTAGCTGGTGTATACAATATAATATAATAAATATATTAAATGGACAACAAGTCATACAAAACAGTTATTATTTATTTAAACTGTTTAAATGACTGTGTTCTAAATCCAAAGTCTATTAAATATATTTTAATGTATGTATGTATGTAAATAGTTAGTGTAACGTATCAAAGACAACAGCCTGTGTTATAAGTTAAGGCGAGTGTGGAGACGTTCAGTTGTGGTGAAGGACATGCTCTTTGTACGGATTTAATGTCATAAAATATCTTATTATCACTATATTAAATACAAATGTATAAGTCTCTTGATTAAATTTAATTCTTAATACCATTGCATGTAAGTGTAACATTCGATTCTTGACAAGAATTGCATTCTTTAATTATAATTAATAATATTAAGTGTCTTTTTGTATTTCACTGGGACAAATTTTTGGTAAGTTTAAGTTTACCTTAAATTATAGAAAAAAAACATATTATTTTTATTTTACAAATGTACTCTAAATAAAAATATTCTTGTAGTTATTTAATTTAAATTTAAAACTAGGTAAAGTTGATTGAAAAAGAAAAAAAGGTACCTATTAGAAATGTAAAAGGTGAAGGTGAAAAGCATAAAATGTGAAAGAACGATATCGAGTAATAACTGAGACAGTAGGTATAATAAGTATATTAAACATACAGCTGGAGGACTTTCTTTGAATCGATTCAACGACCAGTTGATAGTAACAGAGGAGACCTCGACTCTCATTGGAGTTTGATTGGGTCGGTATATGAGATTCCTGTTCGAGGACTGGCATACTAAATGAATCCTATGAGGTCAGTTATAGACCAACCTGCCTGCTCACCCTCTCATTTAGATCTCCTGATGGTGTCATCGCCGACCACAACGGAAACAACAGGCCGAGACTCACTCGGAACACTAGTTAGAACTGGGGGTGGCTTAGATTCCTTAGGTATATATAATAACAGTTTGTAATCGGTGTGAGTTTGTTTATTTTTTTGTTGATAAATACGAGCAGCTCCTCTTCACGGAATGATGTTTCTGACCATTTTATATTAAGTTTTATAATAAGATATATAACAAATAAGTAGAAGAATCTATTAATGTTTGAATATTTTTATTTAATATACTCGTAATTGCATGTTGTCTCATATCTAGTAGGTTCGTGAGAACGTAGTGACAATTTTACTTAATTTAACATTTATTTTTCTTAACCCTTTTATACATATTTAGCACATTATACTAATGGTCGTCGTAGTTCGCGGCCGTCACGCTGTGAGCCGTATATCAGTGCTCTGTTAACTGCTCGGCCTAACGTCTCCTTTATGTATTTGATAATAATAATTTATCGTCTTGTTTTAATTGTGCGTCGAGTCCAACAATCGGATCGTCGGAGCATTGCATTCAATGTAAATGCGATTCAAAAGTAATGGTCTCGTTGGCAATTGACTCGGCGCCTTGGACGGACCACATCCTTCCCTCCCTCCTCTCCTCATAGTGGAGGGGGGGGGGGTCCGAGCTCGCTCACAGGACTAAATACACCAGCGACGCAATTAATACAACGCTAATCAATGCTAATTTAGATGAACGTTTGTTTACGAGCGCTAGTAAAATATGTTCAAACATTCACTAATTGGGATTTCAGACGTGAACGTAACAAACAAACAACGAGATTAACGGGTGAATAACACGGAATGTTTAATGATACGGTTTGAGGCGCGGGACACGATACATATAGGTACCTACTGTATTGAGATGGGTTGTGAAAGTTTTTACAGACCGCTGTTACCCGGGTGGTGTCATCTACTTTATATTTATGTGTATTTTGTTTGGACACACTCAGTATTCGCGAGGCGAGTTTTTGTGCTATAAAAAACATATATCGATGTACCGCCAGGAGCAGCAGGTCCTCGTCAGTAGTCAGTCTCTGGATCTCTATTCTATATAAAAACGTCGGTCGGTAGTTTTTGTCATTTCTTGTTATGCGCGTTTCCTTTTTTGCGCTCATCCTCATGTTCCCGACAAACGAGCCTCCGCTGTTTTTGTGACGAACAATGATCTCGCTGTAAGCGCGGAGTCTGCGCCGGCGCAGGCCGAGAGGCGCATTTGCATGCGGCGTCCAATCCGTGCGCGGCCACGCCCCTCCCCCCGCGCCGCCCGCCCCGCGGCTCGTCCTCGCACTCGTCATCGGCTCACTCATTGCCTCACTCACTCGCTCAGTGAGTGACATGTCTCGTCATTGTCCGTCCTCTCCTATACGAGCCGCATCCGTATAATATAAACTGAAAAATAAAACACAATATATTGTATATACATATGTATATGCTCATAGCGAAACTCTAACGAACACATCCTGACGAACAGACGAAGGAGGCGTTTGCGGGATACATGAAGAAGTTACAAGAAAATATTTTATAAACACAACTAGTCATCTTAAAACAAAACTTACATTTTTTAAGAGAACTGAATTCTCTCACATGAATTTCAGCAAACATATTTACAAACAGAAGTTCTTAAGATCTCCCATACATATAAAAGGTTGTTAAAATTAAATAAAACAATTATAATATTTAATTTCCTCCAATAGAAAGACAAACTAAGCCAAAATTCTATAAAATCCTACACTACTTTTTAAATTGTTGGTATTTATTTACCTATTCATTACTTCAACTAGGTATCTCTCTTTTACGAGAGGCACGTTCAGATCAATATATGCACAGAATTACAAGTGAAGTGAAATTAGTACTTGAAATAAAACAAATACTAGAGATGCTAGGTCGGTTGAAAGTAAATAGATGACGAATGTTACAGCTAACTCATATACCTACACGAACATGTTTTGGTTCAGTTGTAAACTGATACTAGAGACATAAATAAAATGATCCGCATGTCTATATGTGATAGGAAAATCGTAAAAGCCTCCATCAATCACGAGATCGGATAAATCGGTCGGTTCGGTGGCTCAGTGAGTACCTACATCATAGACGTACAAACACATCGCTACTGTGAGTAGCACACGACCCACGGAGATACTGCAAAGGGTTCGAGGAACGTTACGGGGAGCGAATACAGTTCAGAACTAACTTAAAGTTTGATAAAAAATGTGCAGTCGCGTGTGTCGCTAACCCATTGATAGATATTAAACAGCGTCCCTTACAGTGGACACGCGGGATGCGGGCGACCAGGGCTGGCACCTACAATATATTGTAACATACACACACTGAACACACCCTGAGTACATGATGGCTTACCACTCAACGAGATAAACATATTTTTTCCATCTTTATGATTAATTTTAATGTAAAATATATTCATGAATAAAAGGAATTGTTTTATATTAAGTGAATTTTATTGGTTTATAATAAACACGATAAAATTTTATGTGTCACATACCAATAGCAACATACATACCTACTCATACATATACCGCTCCCATATATAACTATTGTTATTGTGATCGTCGTCTCGTCAGTAGTATCATCTGAGGGCCAGCCCTGACCGTCCTCGGCCTTAGTTGTTAACTCGATAAACATCCTAAACGATACCTAATTGTCCACCGTCACCCCCCCCCCCCCCCTCCTCCCTCAACCCGTCACACACACCCTCCCCGGCCCCTCCTTCACCCGCACCGCGGCCTGTCAACTCATTGTGTTTTAATTAATTTATAACCGATGTTTACTTAAACGTTACATTAAGATACGATCAGTCCTAAACGAATAATAATACATCACGGATACTTTAATGATATCAATGTGGCACTTCAATTGGATATATATTAGTTTAAATCGATTAAGATTATTATTATACAAATGATAAATATATAAATATCAATATATATTATATATATGTATATGTATTCATACAACTCATCAGTTGGTAGTCTACAAACCGTACATAAAATTCTACGCATGGTTGGACACTGTGATAACACTAAGACACTCATGTTTAGGAGATATTGATTTAAATTTCAATGATTTGAAGTATGAATTATAAAAGACGTAGTAAAAATACCATACATTAGTAAAACAATTATAAATACAAGGAAATAAACATCGCATAGAGTACCTTCTATACACCTTAGTAAGGAAAACATCCAGAATCAGAAACGTTCTTCATATAAAGCTAAGTTGTCTTTTCATTGGGCTCGTGTTTGTTGTCCACTATTTTAATAATCCTATTATATTATCGTTATAAAACACATGTTATTTTATTATGTGGCTCGTGTTTTTGCGCATTGTCTCACGCGGGACTCGTACGGGGAATTAAATAAAACCCTTATAATAAAGTGTGAAGAGACTATAACGTAGCGAGGAGCGTGCATTAGTTCCGGAGACGCATTCCTTGACAGACGTGTGCGAGACCCGGCCTGCAGCTTGTACCATGTACCACCATCTACCTCCTACCACCTACCACCTACCACTCGCCAACCATTAGGTACTATGAAGAATGCAACCTTATCCATTTGTTAACATAAATAATAACAATCCCGATTTTAGTATTTAGTATCTGATATAATTACATTAACTAATTGTATAGTAAAACAATAACACCTACTATATGACAGCGAGTAGATACTACTATACTATAGTAAATATCGGCGCGTGACCCAGACCCTCATGGATGTTAATAATCAGTACAGAGTTACAGTAGACAAGAACGAAAACACACCGACAGACATAAGACAGGGCAATAAATTATTAATCAATTGGATAAAGCGATAGTGTCATCATATAACATTTATCTAGTCTGAAATTATTTCAAAGGCGAAGACGAGTCGATCAAGCTCACACGAGAAGTCACTGAACACTACGTTTTGATGTGTTATATTTTTAAAGCATTATATGTACTTTCTATCCCGTCCCATCGAACCACTAAATGAACCGTGAATTGCAACTAGATTTATAATGAGGTGGTGGAGTGTAGTGAATATGGTGCGATGGTAATAGGTGGTAGGTGTGTGCGGTGTGCGGTGGTAGATTGAAATGTCACGGAGCACGCGGTGAGGCCGCACGCTCCAACATGCTGTGAAATCGATAATGACCACACAGGGAGCCGGCCGGTCAGGGTTGACACATTCAGATACAGGCAGCTACTGAAGATGCTCAGAGGAGGATAGTGTGGAGGGTACAGATGTAAAATAATTAATTATATGTTAATGAAATGTTATATATAATTAATGACTTAATACGTAACATGATAGCTGAGCAAGTATAGTTTAATATAACGCCTCACGCGCGGCCTCGTCATCCCTGAGCCGCGCGGAGCCGCGTGTGCTGGACGAAGGTCATTATAAAGACATTAACGAAGACAATTGTTTACGGACATTTGAATAATTTCTTAATAATTTACATGGCTGCCACCGCGGACCTTGTCGAGTGACGGGTGACGAGGAGCGGCCTCCGCTGATGGACATATACGATAATTGAACATTTTATACAATAAGATAATTTTAACTCCTGCACAAAGTGCATTTAACTAATACATAGATCTGCACTGGCATTCCTTACCAGCCTTCTGCCACCTTGACACTCATAGGTCACACTTCCTTTTTGAGGGTTATACAGTTTCTATTTTGTACAGAGGCGGGATGCCTTCCTTTGACAAAAAATCAGTCGACTGATATCCTCTGATGCGTACGCGTCAATGATGCTAACGCTGGGAACGGAGTCTCCTTGCCGAAAAATTATTTTTGCTTCATAACAATGACAGGTTATAATGAGGATATTCTCGAGTGGTTTCATACAACTCCGGCAGAACTTTCCAAATGTATCCTTAAAATAAATAAATCACTTTCAGCTGAATATTCAAGTAAAACTTTCCTCTTGGATGGTACTTTGAATCCTAGATTGGGGCACTCACCAGTAAGCTTGGTGTCCTGGAATAGTTTCTTCGTCTCCGTAAAGTACAGATGTTAAAGGTCTCTTCATGAATAAAAAGTACAAGAAATTTTATTACGTGAATGTAATTTATAAAATTACTAAAGTGTTTCCGTATTTGAAATTATGTTATTATATTTTAATAAATGCCAGTTTGAAACTTTCAAAGTCGTTTATATGGAACTAAACAATTTTCTATATAGTTCGGGTTCACAATTATGAATGGAATTATTAAATTAAACTTTATCAAATTAAAATTATTGATTACAAGATACTAAGAATATAAAGTGTATAGTAACAGTACTGAAAGGGATTGTTGGAGTTGATGTTCATACTTCTACAACACGTCAGACTCAAAATATGTACAAAAATACTATTAAATATATAAAGTGATAAAATGAAAATATTATCTATGGGTCTATATTAACAAATCACAAATCTTTGTTAATGGAAACGAATTTTAAATATTTTATTTAATTCGGTACTAATAAAAATATAAAATTAAGAGAATAGAGTCAAATACCTAAAATTCAGATGGGTAATTCTGTTCGAAGCGAACAAAATTTATTAGGAGAGCGATCTCGCCCGCGCTCGCCAATTTACTAATCGTAACTCATCTGCGATAACAGAGGAATTACTGTGAGGCTCGACCGTGGAGCGCTCGGCAAGCACGCGGCGCACAAGCGGCGAGCAAGTGGTGTGCGGCACAGACGAACATACGAGAGAGAGTAAGGCGGGGTGGCGATGCAAGGTCTATGTGGAGATATCCTAATTGTAGTTGCGGTTCGTATCGAGATCGGAGCCCGGTGACGTCACAGGGAGCCTCGATGTTGCTTCTAAATAATATCGTGATCGTTTCTCGGTCGATGACCCGCAGCAACAAACCTGCCTCCGCCGAGACGGTGCATTACGTGCATCGCCTAATTATTATTTAAGAAGCGGCCCAGGTGGATACACCATGAATCTTTATTATTGAACTTTAAAAATGCTTATCAGAATCTGTTTTACTAATTAGAGTCCAAGGAAAGCGATCGAACCTGTCGTCGATATGTTTTGTTTGTTGTAACCACCTTCAACACCTCGTCACTTTAGTTAAACAATCATTCGTTATTTTCCCTTTAATATTCATAATCACAACATATATATATATATATATCATAGAACCTGGCATGTCGATAGTTTTTAAAAGTGAAAATGGTTGATAACTGTCAACAGTAGGTACTTATTTAATTAAAAATATATTTTTCCAATAATGTATAATATCCAATATGTAATATATGATATTTTAATGAATAGTAGAGTCCAATAGGTAATTAAGATTACCAATCATATAAGCGTTGTTAGCTCAGTGACCAATAAGCGTCGCTGCCTGTCCATGTTAGTCTCGGCGCGAGGAATGCGCCCTCGCATACTTGGGATGTCTTCCAGTGTGCGTTACGCTGCTGGCGGCTCCTTTAACGACTTGCCCCACATTAGCTGACTCGTGGATTCGGTGGGAACTACGTCGTCACCCGACATAAACGATACAATCACGATGTCGTTCTTATTGAATTCTCGTAATCTAGATATTTTGTACTTTGAAAGATTAATTTTATTTGGACGTAAACGGAAAATGTTTAAAGTATATTTTGAAGCGACATATCCCAGGGAGTGAGCTCTAGCGCTGTCTCTCACGGTGGTGAGTCCGGCGAACGACTCACGTCAATTAATCCCGAGCCAATTATACAATTGTTTGTAGTAAGACACTTCACACTCCGAACAGAGTTGGAACACTATCACCGTCACGTGGCTCATCATGAGAACTGATAAATAATTGGCTTTTGTCTCTAACAATCGCTACGTAATAATTGAACTGTGAACAATTGTCTCCCAGGAACATTACATCTTTGAGTCTATAGATGTAGTTTATTTTCAGCTCGAACACTTAAATTATTACTATTGTATAAATATTCATAACTACATGAATGTTTTATTAATCGTTATATTAATGATTAAACGATAATAAAAAAATATAAAATATGAACTTATCTTTACTTTGAGTAAATTTAAACATGCAATAAACTTACAATACAAGATTTTTTAAATAATAATTGTATAGAAAATCTACCTGCTCTGTAACCGACGGGTAAGAGAAAAAAAAGGTAGTACAATAATTACAAAATCATAGGTTGCCTCCTCGAAGTTTATTTAAATTAATTGTTTTACCAAATAGAAGATTACGATTAATAGACTGGGCTCTAAAACCCACAAATCAGTCCATTAAAAAAGCGAAGCGTCGGCTTCGTACGCAAATTATTTAATTGTCGCTAGCCGGCAGCCCGCTTCGCTCGCCCGCCACTATATGGTTAGGGGCCATAAATCTAGAGGAATCATCTGCGAATTATTCAAAGGCGCCGCTCGGCCGCCGCAACCCGGACGCGCCCGGCTCGGCTCGATCATCATCTGAACGAATGTTTTATGTATATATTTACACATCACAGCTAGGAGAGGTATGGTACCTATGTGTGGACACGTGGTGTCATGGTAGTGTGGCAGACAGTTATCGTGAGTCCAGCGTGGACTAGTCATTGTGATTGTCGTCGTTTTGATTCATAGTTTCTATGGTCCTTCCTGCTCGCAGTCACTCGATGGACACAATCGCCTTCTATCGCAACATCTGCGTGAAATATTCCACCTTCTCGACAATGGTCCTATCCTGGACAACTTTATCGATGCGGTTTCATCTCTGATCCTCGCCGTGTAATAAGTCTCTCATTCCTCTGAGCGGAGTCGTGTTCCTCTGTTTGCTGAACAATAACGATCTGCGTCGCGTAATTCACGCCACCGCGTTCATCATGCAAAGTGACCACCTCGCTGGCTTAGCAATAATATACTTAACTGTTAGGGCTTAGGGTCGCTAATGGGTCGAGCGTCCACGGGATAATGTCGCGGGGGTGTACAGTATTTGTTATCGGAATTTGAATGCGAGCTCCGTCCGCCCGATGCGGTGGTGCAGATGGCAGCGATGCAGCGCGGTGGTGGCGGTGGTGCGCGGGCGCGGCGTCTGATACGCATCGTCTTGTTAGCGATATCTGATGGCCTCTGCTGTAATTGGCACGGAGAGTGCGCGTGCGCTGCTGCCACTACGGTTTTCATACGCTGCGAATAAATGCTTTTATCAATTTAAAATATTCTACGAGGGATCAGTAATTTTAATATAGCACCAGTTTATATTAGCTCATCGACCCGGACGCCCTCGCCGATAGTGAGTAAACATGTTTTGCTATTAGGTTACTTAAACTTCACTAATGATTTCTATAAACATTTATATTCAGTTATTCCGCTGTCTTTAATAATATTATCATAATTGTAAGTATATCAACTCAACTGATGTTTTTTTTGATAGTCATGAAGCTGTGGAATGTTTTTGTGTAGGTTATTTAATTGTTTGGGTGGCGGACGGCGGTGGTGATACCATTAATACGGGGAGTCTCACCATCTCCGCTGATGGTATCGTACCGACGAGTGACGTATAAGGAGCTCAGCGCTAATGGCGCGAGGTGTCGACACATTTACATACAATATACTGACTGGTACACCAACCGCTATTGTTACTCATCCCGGGACACTCTCCAGATCCAGCGGACATTAACGATAGATGTTCTATACGTCTTCATATTCACTTATAATATAAAAATACTTGTAACAGGTACAGTTTTCGTATTAGCGAATTAGTTTGATTCTCGTGAAGGATTCACTCTCGTTGGAATCATTATAATAAACAGCAGTGACTACAGAGTTCCAGCGTTCAATTAGAATCGATTAAGCCGATCCGAGTTTGCAGTAACGGATGTCGGAAACATGGAGGCGATTATAATTATCACGAGAACCGGCGGGAATTAAAAAAGACGCCGACAGCGGCGCCTGGCCCCCACAATGGAGTGCCGACAGTCAGCGAGACCGTTACATTATGATGATGGACGAGCTGCGAGTCCGAGAGGCCTAGGAACACGAGGACGGCCGTGCGCCGGATCGCGATCCCAATTAACATACATACATATATACAGCCACCCGACTCCGCGCCTCTCTTCTACTGACAAGAGACACGGTGTTAGCAGAACAAATCAATGCATAACATTATATGTAATTAATATTATTTTTCATTATAAAATTATTTTCAAATAATCATTAACAATGTTATCTGAGATAAAAAAATATAGGTATAATATAAAGTGATCGTAATAAGTGTATCATGCATATTATTTTGCCAATTTACCAGTGACTGCGGCGGTGTGTGTGTGTGTGTGTCGTAGTGCGGTGTGGGTTCGTTTATTCGTTCGCCCTTGACCCCATTTGACCCAGCCACGTGCTCCGACAGAACTATACAATATACAAATCAATCCTTTTTATATTAATTCAGAGTACTATTTGGAACAATATCTCCTGCGATGGGTCGGACGGAGCTGAGAACTCAAAAAATAAGTTATAAGGATTTTGTTATGTACGTTAAATGTTATATTTAGGTGTTTTTTTATCAACACCAAAAAAATAATGAATTAAAATGATGATAAAAATTTGTTTAAGTGCTATAAAAGGTAGTAACAATGAACACACATAAACGACTACTAATTGGAACCCACGTACGAGATTATAATGTTTTCGTAATTAATAATGATACAACACTAGAATCATCTTCAAACATGGTTCTTGTTTTGCGTTTGATGAATATGTGTTGTGTAGGTGATGGTGGGTAGTGGTGAGTGTATCTTCTGTAATGTCTTTATATTCGTGTCGTGGTGGTGTGTGGTAGCCCTCGCCCGGGGTGTCAGCTCCACGCGGACAGGCCACCTGCCGTCTACCTTTACTGCTAGTTAGTAACTAAACAATAAACACACTAGTGTACACAGCAAACAATAAAATATAAATAATAATACTGACACTGGAAAGATTTGCCTCTTGGAGCTTCAGAATATAATTTACTTTTACAAAATAATACAAACTAAAACATTAAACCAAGACTTTATAAAGGACCCCCCATTTACTTCAACTTGTTTTTAAATAACAGATTCCAGAATAATAAAAATTGTTTCTATAAGGTCAAGTTGTATCGACGTTGAGCAAAGCAGTGTAGTAGTTCTTCTGTAAACTCTTCTGCTTCTTCGGTAACAGTTTATAACTGAGACTATACTGAAGCATTTAATTCGAACTTAAATTAATTCACTCTAAAGAAAAGTGGAATAGGACAGATGAGTGATGTCATGACAGTGACCGTAGCGTTCTGAACTGAACTGTTGTAGTCTTGTGGTGCTTTTTCGAAGAGTCTACTTCACGACTCTGTCAAGTCGAGCTAAAACAATTTACCCAAAGCTATAGAGACTTAAGACGTCATAATACTTAACGGGTTACTACTCCTACTCGTATATATGTACAACACTTTACATTTATCATTCCTTTAGTAAATATTTGAATATAAACTATATGTGGAGAGCTCAACTACAGGCCTTATCAAATAATTATATTATTTTATTACAACTAATTAATACAAGATATTTTTCGGTCTTTAAATATTTAAATATAATATTATTCCTGGCGACAGTGCTTCGTCTGAACACTTAACGACAGTTAAATGTAATCACATTAAAGACTTCCAAAGTGAACGATTATAATTTTGATGCAATTAAAGATATTATTATTTCATTGACACGTCTGATGTAACGTGTTCAGTGAATGATTCACGTTTTTTTTGTTCATCCATTATCATAACACAAACGATCCGTGCTAACTTTAATGCACAATCATTAGGAGCGGAGCCGTGTTCGTGATATGTTAAGTAGCGGAGCGCGGGGGACTCGTGGCAACGGAACTAAATAACTTGACATGCAAATAATAAATAAATACATAGTTCATGGAAGTAGGTATATCACTACCATACCATAATGTTGGAGAGATATAGTTCTGAGATGACCTTGAGTTCTCGGGTCACTATGAATGTGTTTTAAAAATGACCATGTCTTTATAGTTTTTATTAGGAATTACTAGTCATTAGTCAGTGGTCTGTCGAGCTGATTATCAGTACTTTTTGTAAATATTATCTCATATGTAGAATGTGTATGTGAGTGACACCAGCGGGTTGGCAACCTGGTGACCAGCCTCGAGTCTCGGGTGCGAGAGGTTGTCATCTCATTGTAAAGAGCGCTGTTTGTGGTGACATACTCCTTGTATCTGTATACCAGGAGGCCAATACAGCATAACTCTTCTCGTAGGAATTGAAGTATACAACGATTGAAGATTAAGAATATTTGACTTACATTAAATATAAAGATGTGTCATGCACGGTGGTCCTGATCGAATATAACGCTCACCATCGATATTAAGTGTAACATTTAGTTCTCATAATAATTAGTTTTCCGAAGCAGCGAGACGTCCCCGCACCCGATCGCTCCTGTATCTGATGGTTTTGATATTAAAGTATTAATATTAAAATAGTTGCATTAATTGGATCAGATATATGGTGTCGTTGAGTGAACAATGTAGGGTCGTGTTTGATTTATCTGTACACTGGACATCGGATCGGGATCGTCGCCAGATCGCCAGATATTATATAATTAAAGCGGCGGCGAGCAGCACGAGCGCGAAATATTACCATACACCGGGGCCGGGCTATCGGGCACGGACCATCGACAGGCCGGGAGACGCGTCACACGGCTGTGTGTTATATGTTACGTACTCTATATATTATAATATACATTTATAGAGAGAACACATGACACATTCAGTACATGGAGCGTCGAGGCGGGACTTACTGTACCTACAGCAGACACAGAGAGGAGGTAGCAGATTTAATGTAGACCTGGTAACAGGACCAGCTGCCTATTATAAAAAAAAACGGGAAGAGATGTACCGCAATGAGGTGCAGACGTTCTATATGTATGTATGTATGTCAGAAGGCGATCATTAGCTCATTGATGGTTTATCGTTTATAAGAGTACGAGTGAGGAGGCCGAGGCTCGCCCGACCCTTGAACGATCTCCGTGCTAGATACCGGAACACATTACTTATTATTGTTATTCACTGTAACATCCGATCAGACGATGCGCCCGATAATGGAACGGCTCTCGCTTGCTTGAGAGATTGGCGCAACTAAATTAGCTGTTAGCGACGGGCTACATTTACTCGCTTCATGTACATACTATATACATGATACACTTGAGACTATCCTGGTGACTCCCGTTATAAATACACAATAAGTTACTCTATGTCTGATCGTGAACCGTGCGTGTCCACATGGTCGTGTCCGGCCGCGGTGTTTACTTGTAGGACGCACACTCGGGGCTCATGATATGCATATTATTCCCATTTGTTTTCAAACGACCGACCATTTTTATTGACCGCTCTATTAAGGTCGGCGCTTTGAAGCCGGTAATAAATTTGTTTACAAATGCCACTGCATAAAAACTAATACTTTGAGTTTATACGATCGTACGCTCATACTTAAAACATAATACATTGAATTTGAAAGCCACCACTTAAATCATACCGTAGTAAGTGGCGTCGTTAATACCCCGGTGTTGAGAGGAATTAAAAGGTAATAGAAATGATTAATACCCCAAGGAGAAACATACACACGAACACACAACAAACAAACAAAGACGTGTTACTTCTGTAGAGTTGTGTCGTCTCCACAGTCGGGTCTGAGCAGTGATTGTATTCGTGTTCGTTAGAGTCAAGTGGTGCGGAGGTCGGAGGCAGCATTAGTTATTAAACATGTCGATAACGATCGACGCCCGGCCGTGTTAGTATAAGGCGCGTAACTCCGCGCGCATCGCAATGTGCCCGCAGGTGTGCTCCATGTTCCGAGAGTCGCTTCCTTCGTCGAAGCTGTGCCTCATTGTGACACACGCACTCTGAATATGTATTATAGACATTAATATACCGATATACTCGACTATGTTCCGGTGACTAATGCCACGAATTATTTTATTACATATTAATTAATTATATTGAAGCACGAACCGGGCCACGTCCAGATGTCGAAGGAGAATTCAACAAAGAACAAATAAATAAACATGAAGTGATACGTTGAAGTAGAATAAAATATGTTCCGAGAAGAAGCGACGGTTGATATGACCTTGAACAGTGACGGTGGTGGAGGAGCTCGTCGGGTCATCTGTTGAAGTGTTGAATGTATGACGACGTGCTAATATAGGAGCGACTGTCGCTCAAACATTGACGTATATTCTATATAAGAGGCTACAGCGGGAAGGTCTACTTGGTACAGTAAAAAAGATATTGACATAAGATAATGCTGAATGTACGAATTCCTTAACTAAAGGAGATATATACATATACAAAAACATAAACTCAAATATATATTTATTAAGCGTTTTTGTGTAAGTGGAGCGTCCGGTCAGTAAACAGGTAATATAAAGTCGAGTTCGGATCCTCAATGAACACATGTTAATGAATGTCCATCAGGTGCTACATCCATCCCTCACCAAATATTGTTCCAGCGTCAGTGTTCGCGGAAGCTGCGTGAGAGTCATCCTAAGAGCGCGTCGGTTCCTCGTACACGTTGTTAGTATGTGGCGGGTGTCGTGTATATAATGTACATGTATATTATTATATATTAATGTGTTATTGTTCTATGACTAGTGTACGGGTTCTCGAAACTGTTTCTGATCGTGGACGGTCCGCCGGTCCGACGGTCCGACGGTCCGTGCCTCCGCTGTCATGTTTACGACTAACCGAATTAATTTTTCTCATTTCAGATACATTAATTATTGTAATATAATATAATTCTCTCTATGCATCAGTTGCTTTACGACTGAGAATCTCGAGTGCTCGCTTGTTAAGACACATTTGAGATGCAATTATTTTAATAATTAATTACCTAACGTCGTTCCTTTGGCCATTAAACATGAGACCTGGCGGCGAGTCGGTTATTAATTTGCAAAAATGATAATGTTATTGTAAACAACTACGGATTTAAAATAGTTCTCCGCCCGCGCCGGTCGGTCCTGTCGAAATATAAAACGTGTTGTCGTAGTCTTTATAAACTACACTATTAGAACAACAATATGATCGTGTATGTTTGTAAAGCATTCAAAGGAGTAGTATATTAATATGAACATGAAAGTTGGTCACTCATTATTCCAGTTCTACATTATACTCACTGGACTGTGTTTTAATCAAACTTAATACTTGAATACTCCCGAACATTGATCAGACTAATGTAAAGTTACATATTTATAAACCAATAGGTCCCTACTTTATTTTAGTTTCCTAACTCCTGTATTTGTCTTTATGATAATACATATTTTCGTCAATACTTAATAAGTTATGAATCTACGTATCAAAGTTTTCGTCAACCGAACCCCTCACAGTGTTATCATGTTTTTCATTTTACATTATTCAAGTATCAGTCAGTCAGTGTAGGTGGTGGTGGTGGTGCCTCCTCGTGTCCACGTCACCCGAGTGTTGCCGTGCGCCGAGTCATATATACATATATCTCGTAAAGCCGAGCTGATAGCGCGCCGAGACCAGCAAGGCGTTACGATTTTAATTTTTAATAGAACTATAAAACCTAACGATAATTGAACTTTTTCAAAAGCAATACACGAATGGTCTGTAATTTATAGCCGAGTGTATCTCCGTGTCTCATTATACTGGCACAATTTATTTATTTTTACTAAGTTTTTGTTTACTTCTTAAAGTTGGCGTACCTACGAGTACTGTATATGAAACAAGACGATGCGTTGTACACGTTACTTATATTAATCATCTGTAAGTTATAATGTCATATTAGTTAATTTAAATTTATAAATTGTTCAACAACATGGGTTTCTATTAGCCAGTTAATGTTTCCTTAATTTCTTGTTTTTTTATTATTCTGTATCGGACATTATCCTCGAGGTATTTTTTTCTAATATAAACCATGTCAGTCTATTCCATCTTATTGACATAAAATTTGTTATTTTAAAACGAGTCATTAAATAAGTTGTGCAAACGATGCATTCACTTATATAATGTTATATTAATTCAAGCATCATGTCACGAGAGCGCGGCTCCGCATGAGAAGCTTAAAGGATGATGGCGATAAAATAAAGGTTATTCTAATGAATTATATTAATGTGCTGGTTGCAGTGGGAGCTTATTATCGATGGGGGCGAGGGGCCAGGGGGGGTTGTAGGGAACCCTTAGTGTCGTGGAGGGAGGAGACGACTCCGGAGCCGTTACGTGCCCTTTCCTTTCCATCGACCTTAACCTTCTCGTGGTGACGTGGGAGACTTCATCACTCCATACCACACATTGTATTTTAATTGATTCAAGTCAACACAACACAAACACTTCACACTATATTATTCACGAATCATGATTCCTTGAGTTCATAATAAAAAAAACAGATTTTGTATGATATATTTATATATATATTTTTGTATTTCGGTATTTATCAGAACCTGCTAACGACACCGAGAAGTCTTATCATTATGAACACATACTGATGGTATTGATGTTGATTGTTACAATGACTTCATTTATTTATTTTAAGACCTAATTTTATTTATTGCAAAACCTTTCTGTGATTGACTCGAACCTTGTTCGTACCGCACGCTACGTGAAACTTTTTGACATCGTACATTTCTGGGTATTATTGAATATAATAGACTAACTATATATATAACTGTATACTTATAATATTTGTAACAGTTTCTATAATAGTTTATTTATTTAAACATCACTAACATCTCTCCCCGGCCCGGCGGTCGTTCCCGGACCGTCTGCTTCCTTCTGATAAGTCTCATTCTGCCGCTCACTGCACTTTTATGAACGTGCTCTGTGATCTCACCGTATCAATATTACTTATTATCTTTGTTTTCACTCAAACGACCTCCTTCTGTGATGCTCGAGTTATTTGCGTGTATTGAATAAACTTAGCTGAAACAATGATAAAATAAAATAATTAATTAAAATTTTATTTTATCAGTTGTAATAAGATCAGTACATTTCATAGATTATATGTATTTAATTGTATTAATATAAACCATAATACGTCTAGTTCAAATTGTTAAATTTTTCTTAAAGCCTGATAAATGTTTCGTTACGCTTTCTCATACTTCTCCTATGCTTCTTTTTTTCAAATGTTTACTAACAATGATCAATCAAAGCAAGCTGCCGCTAACATCTTAATTGTTTCGACTCGATGTCATTCTATCATTCAGACTGTGTCTGTTCTCTGGTGTGTGAGGTCGCGGCTCCGTCAGTGCTGTGGATCAACGTGCACTGGAAATATCAATAGAGGATGAGAGGAACACCACCTCCCGCGACCCCTGACCCGCACACCCCCGCACCCCTCACCCCTCACGCCGCACCCCTCTCACCCGCGTCCGCCTGAATTTACAATGTACTCCTGCCCGCCTCGCGCCACCTCCACCCGCCGCCCGAGTCCGCCGGTGAAGCCTCCAGCCAAAGTAATCCTTCACTCCACGGTACAGAGACATATTTTCTTCAAATCCAACCAGCCGGAGTGTTCGTGTGTGTGAGTCACATTTTCTCGCCTGGAAATTCTAATGCGCCGCGCGAATGCGATAAAAAATGAGTATCTCGGGAAACGTGAATATATTAGGGAGCGAGACGGGTAGCGTCGCGACGCTGGGAGTAGCCCGCCGCCGGGCCCGAGAACGACGCCTACTTACTATGTATTTTACACTCTTTATACTTTATACCGACTGGAAAAGGGAGGCTATGTGCCACTTAGACTATTTAATAAGTATCTGCCTCCCAGGACCTACTGGGGACTTAGGTACTGAGGATGACGGACGCAAGTAGATGCCGCACTTTGAACATACTTTATGAAGTCTCTTTTAAACTCTATTTTTTATCACATACTTCATGAAGTATCGATGTATGATTGCAGCTTGAACGACTTTAGCGAAAATGAAGGAACCTGTGATGAATATTCTTTACAAGTTACTTGACGGGTACAATTAAATGTAAATATAGTAAAGGGAGGTGTGACGTGTGTGTATATAATAATGATTTGACCGTAAGATATAATCGGCGTGAGAATCAAATGGTTAATTTGTTCCGGAGGGTCGGCTGGCGCTAATTGTTATAAAAAGCCGCAACAGCCGCGCTCGCTCCAACAAAAGAGTTAACTATATTTTTTGTACCGTTCGGTCGTTCTGTCTGTCGAGGCGGCGTGTGTTTTCTACCGTTTTTTCTGCCGCCTCTCATCTCGCCACGCGCCGTCTTTGTCATCTCTAACATCACGTGACACCCTTTAAGATCACCTCACATGTTTATCAACAATGTATAGGTACACGTCCCTTTTAATTGAAGACTATGATTTTTTATTCTAGTACTAGAAGCCCCGGCGAACATCGTATCGCCCTATAATCAAGAAATATCTATTACGTTTTTTTATTTATATTTTTGGAGTTTACCTGTAAGCCATAAGTCTTCGTGTTTTGAAGTGCGACAGAATGATTGACATATTAGTTAGTTGTCAAATCTAATGTCAAAAAAACGTTTGTATGGGAAATAGAAAATGGCTGTTTTTATAGTTTTCCCAGTAATGAATCAATTTTTTTTAGCTTTTATACCTTCCCTGAACCTCCACGAACATTTCAAGACTAAGATAAGATAAATCCGTTCAGCTGTTCTCGAGTTTTAGCGAGACTAAGGAACAGCAATCCATTTTTATATATATAGAAGATAATGAATATGATACATTATAAATATCAACAAGTATGTATGTAATAGTTTTATTTATTTATTTATTATTAGGGAAACATACAGCATATCGTATATTACAACTTAATATTAGTCATATAATAATAATATTTTAACACTTATGCCAGTTAAGTTTCCAGTACTGTTTTAACAGGGAAGTGGATTAATTTTGATGTAACATTAAATACAACTATTAATTAAATTTGTTGATCCCAATAACACATAATATACGAGAAGATTTTATTTTTACGTATTAATTAACATGATTTATAGTATGTATGTATGTGGTCAGTGAGTAGTTGTTATACATATTAAAGCTGGTGGTTGTGTTGTGTCCCTCAGCGTGGCGGCGAGGGTCGCTCGTGGCTCCAGTACCCCGCCTCCAGGCTCCAGCGTCTCCTGCGCAGCGCCTGGCCGCTCGTCACCACACACCTGGACCGTCTGCCGCCCCCCACACACACAGGTACGACCACAACACACTATGTGTATATATGTTGTAAGTTAATGAGTATTCCGCACATGCTACACTCGAGTTTCGCGTTTGGTTTTCCCTGTCAGGTGTGAGGTCGCTCCGTCCACTCACATCCTGTCCACATCTGACATCGAGCCTCGTCCTTGTGAACGGACGGCATCGAGTCTGTATGTTTGTATGTCTAGATATATGTTTGTATGTTCGCGTCAAAATCATATACATATATGAATGATGATAGTGACAGTTTTATTACCGTCAACGGAACTAGAAAATTCAACATTTTTGATTTCGTTTTTACGATAAGAATAACAAACGACTTCTTATGTCCGCTGATTGTTCCTTGACGGGTCATTGTAACAATAATATATAAATCATTAATCTCAGCTCGACTTGACACTCTTTTAATCATATCGTAATTTTTTAACAATAATAGATGTTGTACATAATTAATTCCCTCAAGAATGATTGTTTTCAGTGCCCTTGTGTGGACGCACGTGTTTCAGTTTAACTTTGTGTGTTGTATATGAACTACAATAGATCGTTAAGAAAGACTTATTTTGTATTCCATGAGTGGACATGATCAAAATATGTTCAGAATATGTTAGTCCCAACTTGTACAAGAGACCAAATGACTAAATCGTCATATAATTGATTGTCTCTCACTGTTCATGATGTTTGGACAGACGCGGACGATTCATTTAATGTCAATTATATTATGACCTCTGACGCGAGACGTTCAACGTCTCCATTAGACATATTTGTAGGTAAAATATTATTATGAAGTACAATAGCGTCCAAAATATTATGATACCCAGAAAAGAAATTTAACAATTCAGTTATTGTTAATGACGGAACGAGTTCAATGATGGAAACTCACGAAAAAAACGGGCAGAGACCGTTTATACCAGATGTCCTATAAGAGTTGATCAGTAAATTGTGTTGTATCACATTAGTGTCTGATGACCCACATGATGTCAGTGATAACATTTAGAGAACAACAACTGGGGAACAACCGGGCCGTTAGTGGAGAGTGAGTGGGGTAGGACCGCGGGCAGGACGGCAACGGATGGATTAATAGATACGGTGATAGATAGTGTCGCTGATGTGATGTATGGTGATCAGTTAGAGGCGGGAGGGGGAGAGGAGGGGGGGGCACAGGCACCAGCACGTGCATCAGCAAGGCTGGAGACAGCACAGACACATAGTGGTCTGTATTTATGATAAGAGGTATGCAGATGATTCTCAAGGGAGTTCGATGACTGCCAAAGATTTAACTTGAAGTTCCACCACATGTAACAAGTAACAAAGATGACTCGACATTGAGAGACTTCATTTATAAAATATTTTATCGAAGCGAGAGAGCTTTCACGAGTTTTTATTACTACATTAATCAGTTGGTCGAACTGATTTTGACTGTACTCAAAATCTGCATGTGTTAGGGGTCGCGTGCCGGGTGGCTGTGGGCGAGCGGCGGCCGGCCGTGCGGGGCGGGGGGGGGGGGAGGTCTCCCAGGTGCGGGGGCGGCAGATGTCGCGAACAATGACGTCACCCGCTCCTGACCCACATCCCATCTCTCCTCCAGATGCCAAAGTCACCCTTAAACCCTCGCCGTAGAGTCGTCGACGAGGGAGCGTGCTCGCAGGTCAAACGTTTGAGGACAATGCTTTTGTAGATTTTTAATAAATTTTGTTCCGTTGAATTTAATGATCGATGTTTCGGAACTCGACAATACATTACAATTCACTACAATACGCCGAGTTGCCCTTCGTAAGGACCGTCTCTCGACCTCGCTAACATTATTGTAGTGTGCTGTGACACCTCGCCCGCGTCACCATTGTGTTTCATTAATGTCCACGGACCCCCGGACCCCCTGACTCACTGACTCCACACACTTCACTCATAATGTCCTATATCTTATTATTACCGCCAGTCACATTAACATGTCCAATGTGCCGTCCCTCAAACTCCTAACAAATGTATTAAACTCAAAGACTTGTAGTTTTATCTGATGTTCAGATGTTATCTCCAGTAGTAGGTGGTTGGCAGGTGACCGGTCATATCAATACTTGTGTTTCATTATTCCCAGTTTTTATCTTACTTTTAATCATTTTAATTTTAATTAAGTATTTGTATTTTTTTTTTTCAAATAATGTAACCTCCCAATCCAATGTTTTGTACAGTGTGCAGCCTCCCACTACCTACCTGTCCATATCCTAGACTAGTAAAACATATTTTTTTCGTTTCCTATAGATGTGCTCGGCCAATTTTGCCGTGTATTATGAACATGTCTCATCTGGTCACATTAAACTTCACTATGTACCTCCTTAGCATTTTAATGTTGTCTATATTTTATTTTTATTTTTACGAGTATATTAAAACATGTACATAATTCAGATCAACTGTCGTTATATAAATATTAATGAGTGTATTATGTTTTTGTAACTGTCAGTGAATACTCATTAAAACATTACTTTGGCTCTTTTACTACACAAAATGGTTTCGTAGTCTTCTCCACTAGGTACCTTTGGTTATATTTAGTTTTTGATTTCTACTATAATTTGTATTAAGCATGTGATTATATGAAGGACAGGACCTTATCGAGTTTTATGATTGAGCCTCTCTGTCATTTGCACATAAATGTTATAGCTTACATAAGAATTACCAACAAATGGAGAAATAATATCTTAGATCGCTCCTCTACTGTCATCAGTATCTAGTCATAACAGCCGCCATGGAACCATCATGAGACAGACGACTGTTTACTGACAGACCCTGGCTTGGAGTCCGCTCTTTACGTTACGTATCTAAAGAGATCTATTCTTCTCAAGCTTGTGACATGTGTGATAGACATTGAAGACTTCCCTTTAATCTACATTAAACCGTGTGGACTTTGATTTATTCTTAGCAAAATATGATATTTTTTATTTTAACTTTTTATTTTTATATGAATATTAAAATAATTGTGCGTTTTGGATCAAAAAATTACTAGTTATAAAGGAAATCAGAGGTACCTCGTCTTAAACTTAGGATTATACATTTAAAATTACCTATTATTCAAATTAAACGAATGTTAAGTTAATAAAATTCTGAAAAAAATCCTTTCTCGTATTAATTTATTATTTTTTGTAAAATTTTATGTGTAGACTAAATAATATTAACATAACTTCTGCTGGTGATTATAACTAAATTTATTTCAAGTCCTCCATATCGACTTATATTATTAGACAGAGTCTTTACAGTTCCTCAATGTTTTGTATCGTTAGCGAATCTTCGCTTTTTATTATAATAGTGCGAGGAGGCTTCTGTAACTTCTAGTCTGTCGTGAAGGTCGTCGACCCCGTGCCTGTCCGCCTCAGAGGATTTCGCTCGAGTCAGCGCATTGATAACAGTTCGCTCTCATACATATGGTATGTGACTTACTAAAATGTTGTAAGCAAACAAATCACCCATTTCTATAGTTCACTATACCTGTGACGACCTACTTATTGTCGCCTGATTTCGTTCTATTTATGAACAAAATTTACGTTTTTATAAAAACAAACATCGGCCGACCTCCTCTCGGTGGACGACGGCCGGAGGGAGAACGGTCGGAGGCGGCGGGACTCGGGCCGTATGTAAAGAGCCTCGGAAAATCCATAACAGCCTGCGGAAAACCCTTTTAATATACGGCACGTAAATAAGCGCGGGTGCGGGGGCGGCGGCGGCGGCGCGAGGGCCGCGGGGGGCGCAGCGCCGGTCGCCATTGGTCTGCGCGGGTCCGCCCCGCGCGTCCCAAAAAAAAACCTCGGAAAAAAGCGTGCAGCGCGCGGCAGTGGCTCACGGACGCGCTCGGTGGGCGGACGCTCGCGTGCCTGGAGACACGGCTCGCTCTCCGACCGGCGGCTGCGGCCGCGTCATGCCCGCGCTGGCCCTGCGCGACCAGCCCCAGCCGCTCGACTGCTCCATGCGCCTGCGCGAGCCTCCAGCCTGGCCTCCGCCGCGCGCCCGCACGCACGGTCAGTCCACACTCCTCGGGGCCGCATCCCGCGACCTCGCCAGCGCCATCCCCGACACACGAACCCTTTCGTTCCGTACTCGCTATAAAGTAACCACGAAACTTATTAATGTGTCCTCGCAACTGTCGGTGGAGGCCTAACCTGTGCGTTGTGTTCGGTGTTCATAATAATATTATTTTATTTTGTCATGCCTCCTTCTCCTACGATTCGACTGTAATATTAGTTTGAGTTTTATTTTATTTTCTTCTACTTCCAACAAGTAAGTCAAGTTTTTATTTTTCTACATTTTTTAAGCATTTCGGTTTCTATATCTACTAAGTTTTTCGGAATACGAGTGAGTGCTTCTTTTTATATTTTACTGCGGATGGAACGAGGCGGTGTACATGTTATAAATGTAATTGGTAACTGATATAAACTAATATGAATGCGGTAGTTTCCTCCCGGTGGCCGGTGCGACCCTCTCCATCATGAAAACATAATAAATCTTCTAACTCTATCCTCTTAATAAAAGGCCGGACAGTTATTTATCAATGAGTGTTATTTCGTATGTTATTCCCGGCGCTGACCCCTCACCTTCTGTTAACATAAAGATACGTCAACAAGTCGTAAGCCGCAGGTTGAAAGGGTTCCCCTCGGCGATGTGCAAAACGGTTCCTTTGTCGGAGCGCGGGGTCCGGGCCCGGCCCCGCCTCGCTCCTCGGACCAGCTCGGTGTCGACTTCGCCTCTTTATTTGGCGGCCTCGGGGACCTCTTTCAATTTACTTTATTAATACGAGGCGGAATGTGATGGATCAACCCGAGAAGCCACTACGGCGACATCGACACCGCGGGGACCGTCCGCGATCAAAGTATATCAAAACGACGCGCCTCGTACCTACGACTTGAGAGGGGTCAAGTTTAGATTTTTCCTGTAAGTCAACGGCACACTTTGTCATTTTAACATATTAAATTTCCCCGCTCTTTTATTCTATACAATGATCAGAGTCTATATTTTAACATGATGCAAACGATTAACAATTGTGAGAACCCGCTACGAGTATTCGGTGGGCGTCAATTTAATTTGACACCGACGTCGTTAAATAAGGTCATTACGTCGCGTTTGAGTTGTAGGAGAAGGTAATGAGACTTTAATGTATCAATTCCTTAGTAACAAATCAAATAACAAACAAGTGAACAAATGACGCCGGCGCGCTTCGCTCGCCCCTCATTACACGAAACAATGGACCCGTAACGAGACAATGAAAACCAGCACTTATTATGTATTATATTTGATTATTGTAACGCTCAGAGACACCTTCACGTACTAGAGAACAGTTAGCGGCTCCGGTAGAACACGGACTGTCGCCTGAGGTAGATACGTGTGTCGAGGCTTATGTTAGGCTTACACTCCGCTACATGTGACCGAAACAGACGCACGGACAAATAAATATACTGCAGTTAAAACTAAAACGTACTACAATGATGAGATGTGAAAAGTTGATTCCGTTTTATTGCATATTTTATATTAATGAGATCATAAATGCAGTAGCTTCCAGAATATTTTTTTTCAAATATGTTGCGTTACAATTAAAACTATTAATTAATATTACAGTCCTCTTTACCTTATGAACTCTTTATTTAATCCTCATTTATCTTTACATACTTTATTTACTAACATAATATTATCAACAGAGCGTCATGTTGTTCTCCGTTTCTATTCTTCTTCTGTCGTGTTGTCGTCTGTATTCTCGTAAGTCACAGTAGGTGTCAAAGTTTTCCTGTTTGTCACTAAGTGTTCCGTGTCCTAGGTTCGATTCCCGGGTTTTGTCCTTCTCTCTAACCATCTCTCGTATTGTTTATATATTTTAAAACATTTCGAATCATTATTCTCTTTCTTATAATATTCGTTGCGTCTCATTAAACTGTCGAACCCTCTATAGATGACATCAGTAACTCATTAAGTTGTTTGTATCGTATACTTCTGTCTTCTGTCTGTTTCTTGTGCTCTCTGTTCTGTGAGCTAATCTCGAAGATCTTTTAAACTTAGTTTTTTTCACTTCACGTCGGGACCGTTACTACTTCAAACATAATATGAGAGTAACAGCTTGTCAGGAGATTACTATTAGAATAATACATATATTATTTTTAAAAGTTTCCGATAAATATAATTAATAAATAAACTTACAAACTTTCATAGGTTCTAATAGAGGTATATTTTATAATTGCATTGAAAAATTATATTTGTATTCATATTATAGGAGCAGTTAATAAATTAAATTTATTTTTCCGATTATTTTATGTATTAAATACATATTTTCTATTTGACTTAAAAACTTATCATATATAATAAAGCTAATTAAACAATGTTTTCTAATAATTGTTGCTCTTCTTTTATCTCTTGCCGTAAATCTGAACTGTGCGTATTTTTTATATATTTTAAACGTGTAAATACACAACAAGTACATAATAAAGTTTTCTCAAGACGTCTAATCTCCTAGTTCACGTGCCATAAAGGGTTGCCTTTACTTGTATGTGCCTACAATATCATATAATGATTCAAATGACACATTTGTCGATAACAATAATTCCATTCTTAGAAGGGAATGGCATGTCAGGAGTCAGGATGCATCACTTATCGCCTCCTACGAGACGACGACACGCGACACAACACACAAGAGACGACACAAGCACAAGTTGTATTTGACACAGTCAAACATCTCCCTCGTGTCATCGCACAAGTCAATTGTCATAATTTCTACTGTATATATATTTCATATATTAATATTTAAATTCTGTTTTTTGTCAATCCTTACCGATAATAGTTTTAACTCTTCCTCGTTGTAAACATGTCATGATATGTCAGTGGTGTGTCATAACTCAACATCAGTGGTCGCCGCTCGTCCGTGCGAGTTTATTAAATATTTAGATCGCTCCTGTCGTGTCGTAATCTTGATTAACGTAATGTGGGTGTTGTTGCACGCTGGTTGTGTGTTGTGGGTGGTGCCTCCGCCTACAGACTGCTGGAGATGTCCACCATTGTTACAGTATGATTGTTCAAAATATGTACTGAAGAACACGAACCGTATATCAGACCTATGAATTGTTCAGTCTCCTCTATTGACCTCCGTAGGACCTGTCCGTTTATACACACACGTAGTGTTTGTGGGAGCTGTTCATCTCATGTGTATGTTTCTGTTTCTTCTCTGCTTATTTTCGCGATCGATTGAACTTATTGAAGTTAATCAGAGATACGGATAGCCGTTCAGAGAACTATGTATATTGTACTAGCTTTCCGCGCGCAGCCTCGCCCGCGTGGAGTTCGGTTATATCGCGTTTCCAAGAAAACCTTTCAAAAGTCTGGGATAAAAAACTATCCTATGTTCTTCTCAAGGTCAACTTCATCTCTGTACCAAATTTCATTAAAATCAGTGCAGTGGTTTAGGCGTGAAAGCGTAACAGACAGACAGACAGACAGAGTTACTTTCGCATTTATAATATTAGGTAGGGATTTGGTTGTTAGTGAAAGTTAAATTATTTCAAAAATTATAAGTCTCAGGTCTCGTGACCACAGATCATTTGATAAGCGTTTTTAAAATTATTATTAATTAATTTACACAACAAACAATACTTTTTCTTTGTTAAATCTGTTTAATTATAACGTACAGGTGATGGTCGTTACTGTGGAGCCGATACAGTTGTACATTATTATTTGGTCGCACAAGTAATTACATTGTTAGAGTACAATCAATCCACCTTCACCACCAGAACCCCAGGTGGAGTCCAGCTCGAGGTTTCATTCCTCCGGTCGTTCACTCTTCACGATGGATGTCATATGTGGCAGTCTCCGAGGGTGTTCTTTATTTGGAGCGCGAGTTATTTTTGTATGTGATGTTGATCCTAATGTTGAACTTGTTCCTGTTTCCTTGATTATCGATTTTCGTATATAGGGCGAGTGTTGTAACGTGCGACGTAATATGAAGGTCCCGGTGACCCCCGGCGGGGTGACTCCGGGGGGTGACCGCTGATAGAGGGGTCGGGGGAGGGGGGAGGACAATTAACCACCCGCGGTCAATCACCCCGCTCCTCACAGACAACAGGCTTAGCTTTCGTCATCTCGTCTGTATACAGTGAACTGATCAACTGACACCTACAGCAGACATTGGACCGCGACGATAACGATACATCTTAAATAAAAGTTCAAAATATCAGATAATATTAAAATAAAATTAAATAAATTTAACTAATTTACATAAAAAACTTTTATAAGAATAGACATCAACGATATCACTTAAACAATATACAGAGACCAATGATTGTAACATCTATAGATAAAATATTAAATACTTTATTTTATAATCTAGTGAGTTCTAGTGAAAACAAATATTTTTATGGTCCAGGGGGTGTCAGCTGGTCAGTTTGAATGTCGCTGTTACGATGCCATGTGTACCTGTTAGTTAGGAGACGGATGTGATCAGAACACTCACAACACTGGAAATATGAAACTCACTACTGAAGAGTTTAAAATATTTATTCATGAAAATCCTAAACACGATATCTGTTAAAGGTCAAATGTGTGTTTGCTTGCTGCAGCGTATTATGTTAAATATACATACGTGGAGCCATTCATAATCATTTCACTCATTATTTTCACAAGAAATAAAGAGTTATGTTATTGTTATATACTTTATTGCTTCATGCGAGTGCGTGTCCGGGAGTGTGAATGCTTGTATGTATGTGTGTGTGTGGCGCTAACGGACTATTTGAATTCATACAGACGTGATGTTGATTGTGATAGCGGCCTTAATAAAGCGAATACTACATACATACATTAACAATTTCTTTTTATCTGTTATCATTAAGGAATTTGTAAAAAAAAACCGAGTGTTAAATGAAGCGGGTTGAAGTATGCCGACCGGGAGGGCGCCGCGGCTCACTTACAACGATAACTATGGACATGTCTCTGTACATTCTTATTTCAATATTTCGTGAAGACGTGGAGTGTATCGTGTCGGTGACGCGCCGCAGCCTCCGACCCTGTCACACCACATGCGTGTAGTAAGAAGCGTGCGGGTTTCTAACGCATCTCATTATTATAGAAATTTGAAGTAGAACCGTCAAGACGATGTGCCTAGCCACAGCGCGAGCACAGACACACAAGGGCACAGACTCACCCGAGCACAGGCTTATGTGCCCATGTGAGTCTGTGCCTGTGTTTCTATGTGTAGTTGTCACTAGGCACGAGTACAGACACACATGAGCAGAGACACGCACTGGCACTAACACACATGGGCACAGATACACATACATAAACAGACGGCTTAACCATAAATCAGTATTACATAATGGAAAAGGAATAATATAATGTGCTTGTGTGTGTGCTTGTATTTGTGAGTATGTGTGTGTGTGTGTGTGTGAGTATGTGTGTGTGTGTGTGTGTGAGTATGTGTGTGTGTGTGTGTGCGTGTGTTTCAGTATTAAACAGATTTTGAAAATATCTTATAATTAGTGAATATGATAGTTTGTATTGTTTATGTTACTTCATAAGCCACTCGATATTGTATTAAGATATGATTAAATATTTTGTGGCCTCGCTTCGATTTCGTTTCTTCAAAACACAACCTTATACCAAAATGACATTCAGAAAAAGTGTCATCGACAATTATACGACAGGAGAAGGCATTCGAGAAGTAAAAAAACATCATAAATCTGTAGCCACGTACTAGTGTGCAGTATGTAATAACTAATAACTTAAACGGTATTAATTTATTTGCAACCGGCGATGTCTTTTGAATACATACATATTTATTTATCGAAAGTTTTGTTATTTTCCAATGAATTTAACAAAATGTTTTGCAATTCTTATGTTAAAACATGTGTCGGGGAGCGAATGCCAAGTTTCAAATTTTCTTTATCCGCCGTCGTCCGTGCGTACTCCCCGCTACCCTAACGGTCCTACTCCCCGCCATCCAACTCATCACGACATATTTTTAAATGAATCTTGTCTCCAAAGCGCGTTTATTTTCCGAACTTACCGTTTTTCATTCGCCGCAGCACCTGGCGGAGGATTAATGTCGGTCTGTCGGACCTTCCGTTCCCCGGGGCCGCCGGTCTGAGGGTCCGAAGGTCCGCGGGGTCCCCGGGCCGCCGTCGACGCACCACACTATTTCACGCGGTACAATTTACTGCGGCCTCCTGAGTGATGTCCATCCCTTATCCACTTTAAACAGGATCCCTCCCACTCCCCGTCTATTTCCCTATCTTTTATTTCCTTTTAATACGATGCTATCTTTCTCAACGAATGTCGATTACTTATTCCTTTGATGTCGGTCCAACAATTCTATTAGGTATATCGGGCCACGTGACCCTCGCCTTTAGTTTTCTTTAAATGGAATGTATTATGTTCGCGGGGATTTTTCTATTTTGTTGAAGGTTAAATGTTAATAAAAGTCACGTTATGTATATATTGTTGGCGGCGAGTGATGAAGGCAACATGTGAATATAAATATATACAGTGTGAGAGACGTGTCAAACAGGTCGCCTGTCACGCTCATTACATTACAAGTGGTTAGGTTTGTGCCGTACACGTATTAAACAGTTACACTAATAAAATGACTTCGATCATTAAATGAAATCTCGATTATAATTTAGAGTAATACTGTAGTATAATTTAATAAATAGGTATATCATATTGATTACATATTACATACACAATATTAATATTGTTAGTAGACGTTATGTATATGTAACCAGTAGTTAGCTACTGTACATTCTTCTCGACATACATATTTTAACCACTTTTAATATTTGTTCTCATGTTTGTTATAACAGCCACAGCGACACCTAACCTAAATCCTACATGTCCGTCTCTGTAACGAAAGGTACTCACTTTAATTCAATACACTTTTGACAAGTTTTAGTAATGTTCTATTGAAATTTGAAAACGTCAAATAAAGTAAAATCTTTATTCTAGGATTACCAGTACAATTGTCAAATACAAAGCTTTGTTGTGTTTTTACTCTGATTGTCCTTTGACTTGTGCGAGTGCTTCTGTTGTCAAACGAGAAAGAAAATTATATATATGCAACCGTTCCTTGGACAATGAGTGAAGTTTACAGAACGAACCTACAACAAACAACGCAAACGAACATTCATTTCATTTTTCGTTACATCTTCTAAGAGAGTGGCGTGCTGGGAGCTAAATCCTGTGTATAAAGTAGTCCCGTTTCTTATTTAAGTTAATGAAGGCATATAATTACCTCATAAAACGTTCCATCGCAATAACAAACGTTAAATATAATACGATCAGTGAGATGACTGACTGAATCACTGTACATTAAACTTAGAACAGATTCATTTATGAGATTAAATGGTTTTTTTGATAACCGAAGATAGGGAAAAGCGAGTACAAGGGGAACGCGAGCTTACATTTTCATACACTTTACATACATATATTGCAATACATATACCACTTTGTTCTCTCACCGTCACCGTCTCTGGCGTGACGCGTCTCTCTGTAAGTTACACACGATTATAAGTCAGTGTTGTATCTGTAAATGTTATTGTCTGTAATGAGACTCTGTTATCATTTTGTAATATCTTTGCATTACCTATAACTCGCTCCTCCTGTAGGTCGAGGAGGTGTCGGTACACACAGACTCACACGTTCTCCGTCTCTACAATGAGAGCCGTCACTAATTACGTTATAATACTTGTGTTGCAGTGTCGGGGCGCGGTGACGTCAGCGGCTTCTTCAACACACAAATGATGCTCGACCTTAACGGTATGTAATCAAAGCTCATTATTACTAATCGATCGCCTCCGATTTGAATATTACGACCGCGATACTTGAATTATCTTATTAGGTTTTTTAGAGTCATCCTCGAGCCGTTCGCTTCATCTTCGGCTTCCTGTGTTTTTCATGTTATTCATCGATCGCGGCTCTGTGGACCAAAAGAATATATTATGTTATTGTTTCTAGTAACTATCATTAATTTACATGATTGTTATCGTAGTATCGAGGTCCGTGTGGTGTCAGTGGTCCGAGCGGCCGTCCGTGATGGACCACGTCTCCTCGAGACGATTCACTGCCTCCACACAAAATGACCAAATAATCAAATTAAAACTAATTTATAAACATTTTTTTGCTTCGGTAAATGGTGACATTGCGTCTTTGAAATTTTTCTCTAGGAAAGTTTTTGCTTCCGTTAATTATGGGATGAATGGGTTGATGAAAAAAAAAACGAACTTCTGTGGTCGAACGTGTACACAGGAGGAGGAGGAGGAGGAACAGGCGCGAGGGGGGAGGGTAGGGGGTCGGGGGGGGGCTGGTAGGTAGCTGCCGGTCTACTTGGTGGTTTTTGTAGCGCGCGTGCTTCACGGAACTCAGTGTTATGTCATTGTGAACGGGTGACGTCCGCTCTCAACGTTTGATTTGTTCGTCACTTAAATGTCTGTCACCGTTTGGACAAATATTATATAATAACACCATAATACTAACCTTACCGATACGTTGTTATGACAACTTCTTGTATTTTAGCAAATTCAACGTTATATAGTTTATTTAAGTCTTTTACTCGTTTGTACCAAGTCGGACTAAAACATGAAATACCCTTTTTCTTTTGCATCTCTCATCCCGACCCATATTTTTTCTCATTTGGAAGTTAGATTAAAATTAGTTTGTTTTTATTTTTCAATTGATTCACTCCCGAGTCGAAGTTAAAAATGATGGATGTGTGAAATGGTTGCATTCGTAATTCGATTAAATTGGTGAGGACATTTTGGGCCCGTGAGAGTGCAGGGACCGACCGACAAAAAGCTCTCCCAGGCGGCTGACGAGAGACGGAGACGAGAGAGAGAAGGACTATCAGGGCCAGGCATCCACACACAAAAACATTAATGAAGCTCACCACGCGAGACTTATGATGTTGGGAAAGTTTGTTTTTTAAGAGATCGAAACGATTATGATTTCGTGTTTGCGTCGTTTAAGAAGTTTAAATATTAAAACGGTATGCGTTCTAGACATTGAGACATTTTGTTTTGTTCCGCCTGGTCGGGTCCGGTCACGCTGACGACGGGACGAGCTGACTCAGCATCATCGGGCGCGTGTCAATGATCTCACGAGAACTATCGCCTCCTCACTCCTTACTCCTGACTCTCTGTGCGTCCACACATGGTACAGCCCTGGTGGAGCACCCGGTCGTAGTTTACTTGCAATTTGTTTTCTCTAACTTTTCTTTCAAATTTGTTTAAAGAAAGTAGCATAAAGTAATTTTTGTATTTCCCAAACATGACTAATAAATAACCAAAGATTTACATCAAAGAGGTAGTTAAACAGTATACAGTAAGTTCATTCCTTTACATTAGCAAGACGTTCTATTTTTTCTTGAGCCAGCGATCGTTCGCTCGAGATATTCTCTCGAATATTTGAGTGTTTTTGCGGACGGCGAGCTCTCGGACAGGTAATCGTCGTACCTTATTGTTATAAGTCACAGGAATACGATCGGTAATTGATGAAATCATTTATTAGCATTTGTTTCCCAATAGTCTCTCGCGGAGCCGACCGTCCGAACGCCTCTAGTGGAATGTTTCTGTTGGCCGTGTATTAATTAACCGTTCTTCTAACCGGTAACAGTTTTTGCTTTCGATTCTGTAAAATAGGTAACGGTAAGCCATATGTGTATGTAATGTATCGCTCGTCGAAGGGTGCCGACGGGGCCCGTTCACATTTGCATGCGTCCGCGTCGCCTACCTGCGCCTACACAGCTGCCAGCTTTTTTTCACTTACCTTCGATAAATAGCGAACGATCAGCGCGGCTTGCATATTTCTTTCTATTTCCATTAGCTATTGTCCGCTTTCGGTTGTTGAATGAGCTTTTAGAAGATTTATTAGGAGATGTGTGTTTAGTATCCGTGTGGGACCCGCTGGCCGGTCGGTCTCATATTATTATCTGCCGGTACAGTACGCTGTACACCTCTCAGTATCTATATTTTATAACAAATGATACAGTTCGTGTTGAAACCCTCATTCGCTGTTTCATTTATTTATTTGGTTTTATAGAACGAGTAATCATTGATTCACTTCTAGTTGTTAATACTAGTTGGTTGTGAATAAAAACTTGCAAACATGAATCTTGAAGCGAGAAGATCATACTATTACAATAAATAAAACTATCTGTCTTGTAACTTTTAGGTATGACTACATAAATTAACGATTTAATTATATACATACATATAATATAATATATATATATTTAAGAATATGTCAGATAATTAAAACCATCAGAGAATGGTATTTTTTTTCACCATCAATCTATCACAAGCGTATTGTCAGTTTCTGGGAATCCTCAGTAGATGCAGGCGCGGTTCATTCGGGCCAGTGTGTATTGAAATTTATGAACGCACTCACATTGTAAATTGCGTTTGTATTACGGTGGTCGTTGGCCGATGATCGCTCGAGACACGCGATTCTAGTCTTTAGTGCTACACGTTAGGGTCGATGAAATCTCGCTACAACATCTAGCACTCAACAAAGGATTTGCATACGTCCAAAATAATTTTTTGCACCGACTTTTTGCTATCATTTTAAAACCGAGAATCTATCATGGAGACGTTTGGCCGACCGTTCCATTTAGACGATGTTATATTGTTCGCTACTGGCTCCTTTAGAAGATTGAACATCGATTCGTATTAAATCAAAATCTTTTGTTAATTTATTTACCAAACCACACATATTTCATAATATTATTCGGTACGCTGCTCTTTCTAAATGTAAGATAATTGGCCTCATTAGTCGTTCTGACGTTATAAAAACAGTATTATCATTACGTCTAATTAATATCTAGCGCTTCTAACACAAAATCCTAAAGAACCAAAAAATTCAATTTTAAGTTATTCAATGTTGCAACCTGGTGCGGTAACATATTAAATATCAATTTATCGTTGCTGAGATGCTCGGCTGGCTGGCTGGCCCACTGGCTGGCCGACTGGCTGGCCGACTGGCTGGCCGACTGGCTGGCCGGTCGACTGGCTGGTTGTTATCGAGTCCGTCACGGTCGAGCACACCGCGTCGCGCCCGGTAACTACTATTATCGCCTTATTGGTATCATGATCGTTCCTAAGAGGTGTTAATACCACTGGTACAAAACATACTATTATATCGAAAAAGTTCTATCAGCGATGTTTCGATTCGCGTTTTATAACTTAATTTAATTGTAATAATATTGATGATAATAGTTTCCGCCGGTGAGTCCGCTCGCTCCCTTCTCCTCGTTTCATATATAACGTGACCTTTCTGTTCTCCATATTAATTGTGTCGCTCACGTGAGGTTCCGTTACTCCAGCCCCTGTGCTCCTCTTGACATTTCAGTTTTTGCGTGAAGGGTTGCGGTGCTGTCACTCGTCCTGTAAGTTGGCTCCTCGTTATTTTCAGTTCGTGTTGTGTAGTGGATGCGCACGCGCATTGATCGCGATCTAAAGTAATAAGTTGATCTACCGAGATCCGCCGGACTCTACTGTGATCACTATCGGTTCACCTGACGCATGGACTACGGTGAGTGGTCACCACCATGTGCTATAGTATAGACACACGACCCTTGGATGAGCAATGTTTAACAGGACTACATAGTTCATGAATACTCATTTTAAATTTATCTTACTGGGGACAACAAAATAATTATCGATTATTATTTGTAAGATTTTAGAGTCGTAAAATTACTTTCGGCTAAAAAAAATCTAAAGTTATTAATTTATGGCAATATTTCACGGTTACACTGTTTGTGCCCGGTGCCCGGTCAAGATTACGATTCTCCTCTTTTTAAATAAGGGCTGTGTTAAAGCAATTACGACGGGCTTTGTGTCGGAGAAAGCGATCCATAAAAAAGACATTCGAATTGAGACGTGAAGCGAGCGAAGCGACTTTCTAATTTATTGTTTTGCTGTTTTAAATATTTTTAAAACACAACGATCTAAAACAATAAAAAAATATTTGCGCAATATCTACTTTACAAAACATGCAACGGGTCTTTTATATCACACATAAATGAAGACCGATCTCCTTCTATGTTGGAACCTTTTTAGGAGTTTTACAACCCGACTGTCACAATCGTGCACTCTCAGCCGTGTTTAGGGATTGTAAATGATTTTATATCGAAGAAAGGGTCTAAAACTGTAAACACGGCAAGGCATGACCGACGGCCGGTGACCAGCCACCGGTGCGCTCTTAACACGCAATACGTTTTAGGGACAGCAGCGTAGTAGGAAATAAGATTCGGACGGTCCGAGAGGGGTCGAAACTTTTAGATTTACGATTTATTAGGAAGAGAGAGAGCGAGCGAGTGGGGGCGAACTGTACAGAAGGTTATCGGCGGTAACATATGCAAGCTCGGGGTGACCTTTACACGCTGCGCTCTGGGTCCCGTTGTACTCCGGACACCTGCGACGGGCGTTAGGGTCCCGCTAACCGAGCGACGTCATTAAAATGTCGCGACTCTCATACCATGATGTTAAACATGACCTTATAGAACTGCGACACCAGACTGATAGCACTCCCTCACTGATAACTGGGACGACCTGACTAGTTGTTGTTAAACGACATAAACACCTCCCGTCATAAACGTAGTTTGATCAAAATAATGTCTGGAGTTGTGGCAACGGTTTACTAATCGGTAATCACGTTTCGGTTAACATAAATAAGTTTTTATAATGCCTGCCGTCCGAGCGTTTGGCTTATTGAATATTGATTACAGTCGGAGCCGTCGTTAGAGCGACTTTCACAATATCGAC